CCCCTCTTGGTCACTGGTCAGTGCCTTTGATGTGAAGGTTCCGGGAGGCTGTTTTGTGTCACTGTTTGGCTGGGGGAGGGAGACAGTTCAGGGCCTCGTCTTAACTGACAAACTGGCCCAGTCTCGGTGCTTCCGTGCAGCAGAGGGACCCTGGGCTCTCACACACACCAGCTTCTCACCCACAACACTGAGAAGAATTCACTAACCCCACGGCTGTGCTGGGGTTGCCTGGGATTCTTTACCCAGGATTCCGGGGGCTGTTCCAGCTCTGGCTCTGTCAAGCCTGCACAGATGGAGAGGTGGGAGGGAGGGAGGACCTTGCAGGAGGCCCCCCTGAGGGACTGACATGGACTAGGTTCCCTGTCCCTGTCCTAGGTTATGTCAAGGCACCAAGAAACAAAGATGCCACGGTTTCCTTTTCAAGTAGTGGCATGGCTGGCTGCATCATCTTGCACAGGTTCTTTTACTTATTAGCCTCAGTTTTTCTCCCTGTGAAATGGGGATTGTGATTTCTACTCCGGCTTGGTCCTGTGAGGCTCAGCAGGTTAGATCAGTGTTTCCCCAAGTGTGGACTCACACCCCAACGTGGTCAGTAGAACGATGGGGGACCCCTCCACAGGATGGTCCTAATCAACATGAGAAAGCCATTCCCTGCTCAGTTTTCTTTTCACCCTCTGACCATTGTTAAGGAGAGAGTCTCAGACAGGTGGTGGTGTGGGCTAGGCCCCTCTCAAACACTTCCTGGGCTCCTTTTGAATGAAAGCCTTAGAGCTTTTCAGGCACGCAGTATTAGCCAGCACACATGTAATGTGTGCATTTATTTTATTTTCAAGGTGTTTTGTTTACCTTGATTTGTTCTCAAGGCAAATAGAAAAGTGTGAGGTGATTTAAAGAAATATATTGAGCAAATAATTGCACATGAGATGCTGAATCTGGCAAAATTCATGAAGTGGCTGGAGTGTCTGGGGCTTGGGAAATAGTGCTATAGCGTAGGTGTCAGAGGGAGTCTAGCAGTGCGTCAGGACATTCTCCACCACTCAGCGTGGAGGCCACCCCCACTGTAGAGTCGGTAGAGAGCACCCCTGCCCAATAGGAGTGAGGCTGCCCCTACGATGTGTCAGCAGAGGCTAAGTAGGAAACCTGGACTTCTTCCTCCACCTGGCCCACCTTCCCCTGCTGCAGCCGTAGCAGATAGGGCCAGCTCCAACGGAAGGCTCAAACAAGACCTGGAGGCCCGTGATTTGCAAATGTCTGGATTTCGAAAAATCGCTCCTATCAAGAATCAGAAAGACCTCAGACAGAATGAAAAAGAGATAATCAATGGATTCTAACACTGAGAAGACTGAGGTGTTAGAATTCTCTGACAAAGATTTTAAACCAGCCATGATTAAAATGCTTCAATGAGCAATTACAAATATGCTTGAAGCAAATGAAACATAGAAAGGCTTGGCAAACACACAAGAGGTATAAAGAGGACCAAATGGAGAATTTAGAACTGAAAAACACAATAACTGAAATTAAAAGCCCAGTGGGTGAGCTCAACAGCAGAATAAAGGAGACAGGGGAAGGAATCAGTGAACTGGAAGATGGAACAATAGAAGTTGCCCAGTTTGAACAACAGAGAGAAAAAAGACTGGGGGAAAGAAGGAACAGAGCTTCAGGGACTTGTGAGACTATAACAAAAGATCTAATATTTGTGTCATCAGAGTTCTTGAAGGAGAGAAGAAAGGGGGTAGGGCCAAAAAAGTACTTGACATGATGGCCGAACACGTCCCAAATTTGGTAAAGAGTATAAACTTACAGATTAAAGAAGTTGAATAAGTTCCAAAGAAGACAACCCAAAAAGATCCACTCCGAGACATACCATAATTAAACTTCTGAGAACTAAAGATAAAGAAAAAAATCTTGAAAGCAACCAGAGAAAAACAACACCTACCTACAAGGGAAAAACAATTAGAATGACAGTAGACTTCTTATCAGAAAACATGGAGGCCAGAAGGAAGTGGCAAATATTCTTATAGCGCTGACAGAAAAGAACTGTCCGCCCAGAATCCTATACCCAGTGAAATGTCCTTCAGGAATGAAGGGCCAATCTAGAAATTTTCATATGAAGGAAAATTAAGAGAAGTTATACCTACTCTAAAGAAATGACTAAAAGGAAACTATAAAAGAAGGAAACTTGGAACATTAGAAGGGACGAAAATACATGGTAGGCAAAAATATGGTTAAATATCATAGGCACCCTTGCTGGTGTGTCTCAGTGGTTTGAGTGCCAGCCTGCAAACTAAAAGGCCGCCAGTTCGATTCCCAGTCAGGGCACATGCCTGGGTTGTGGGCCAGGTCCCTGGTTAGGGGCATGTGAGAGGCAATTGATTGGTGTTTCTTCTACACAATGATGTTTCTCTCCCTCTCTTTCTCCCTCTCTTCCCAACAGTCAATAGTAAAAAAAAGCAAATAATCAAATTAGGGCATAGGCAAAGACATGAACAGATTTTCCTGAAGAACATGAAGATGGCAGATTGGCACCCCAAAAGGTGTTCAACCACATCAGCCATTAGGGATGTGCCAATTACAACCACTAAGAGCACCACACACTTACCAGGACAGCTAAAGAAAAGGTAATGACAATAACAAATGCTGGCAAGGATACAAAGAGACTGGATTATTATTTATACATCGCTGGTGGGTGTATGAAATGGCACAGCCACTCTGGAAATCAGTTCAGCAGTTTTTTTAACTAAACATGCAATTGAAATGTGACCCAGTGACTAGACTCCCAGGTGTTTATCCCCGAACAATCAAGACTTATGTTCACATAAAAACCTACACATGCATGTTAATAGCAGCTTTGCTCATAACAGCCCCAAATTGCAAACAACCCAGATATCCTTTGAGGGGTGTACGAATAAAGACACTGTGGTATGTCCATACCATAGAATACTACTCAGCAAGGAAGGGAACGAACTGTTGATACATGTGACAACTTGAATGAATCTCCAAAGAATTATGCTGAGTGCAAAAAAGCTGATCTCCAAAGATTATACGCTGATGATTGCAGCTTTATAACATTCTGGAAAATGTTACCAATGACCAAAGTATAGAAACGGAGAACATATGAGAGGTTGCCAAGGGTTACAGAGGGGCAAGAGTGAGAGGGAAGTGGGTATGGATATAAATGGCCAACAGGAGGCAGCTTTATGGTGATGGAAATGTTCAATATTGTGACTGTTTCAATGTCAATATCTGGGGCTGTGATACTCTAGTTTTCCAGGGTACAACGAATCTCTCTATATTCATTGTACCCTGGAAAACATATACCTTATAACTGCCTGGGACTCTACAATACAAATATCTCAAAAAGTTTAATTAAAAAAATTTAGGTAACTATAGTAAAGACCGAGAGTGGATTGAGCAATAATAAGAGGCTGAGAGAATGAAGAAGTTTGGGAAACCCCACTCTACAGAAGAAGATTACTTTTTATCAAGAAAACTTTTTTTTTTTTGGGGCTGGCCAAACCTCTTCCAGAGGTTTCTGGTGGCAAAAATAGTTTGCTTTGATGGATCAAGTGCGGGAGGCTTTATGGGCTGTGGTTTGAAGCAAAGCAGGTGGGGTCAAGTTTGGAAGAGGCACGGGGAGGTCAGGAGGTGGAAACCCAGGCCGCTGGGCCTGCAGGGGCTGGGCAGGCCCCCTCCTTCCCCTCTGGCAGCCTGGGGCCGGCTCCCTCAGACCCAGGGCAGGAAATCCCCACGAGTCCCTGGGGCTCCCTTTGTGGTCACAGTGACCATCCGAAGACCATGCAGGGAAATTTTGATGGGAAGAGAAGCACCCGCCTAAGAAGAAATTTCCTGAGCAAGCCTGGGCAAGGCCGAACCCCGGTGTCTCTGGGTGGCCAGGGGCTGGACCCCACGGGCGACGGCTGAGGTTTTGTACCCTTGCTGCCTCAGGTTCATCCACCTCAGAAAGCTGGACAATGGTTTTGCTCTGTATATTTGGTCTAAAGCAGTGGTGAATGGGCGTCAGAAACACCTGGGGGCTTTGAAAAACAGACCTCTGGGTGCCACAGCCCCAGTCCCAGTCCGATTTCGGAGGTCTGGGTGGGACAGGGAGTTTGCATTTCTAATACATAAGGGTGATGTTGACGCTCTAGCCCAGGCGGCACTGTGAGAACCACCGGTGCAAGAGGGTGCAGGCCTGAAAACCAGAGGGAGGAGGCTGTCCCCGCTGAGGGGAGACCCTGGGTGCATCCCCCTCCCTTCCTGGCCCAGCAGAGGTCCCGCAGGGCAGGGACCAGCCCCTGCAGGGGCGAGGTGGGGGACCCCCACATTGAGGTGCATGCGCGCGCGCGCTGGGGATGGCCGAGGGGAATGGGGTGTGGACTTGAGGGCAATGTCTCAGGGGGACAGAGAATGGGAGTTCTGGGCGTTCTGCGGGTTGAGGGGCCAGAGGAGGGAAGGAGAGGCGGGCAGACTTCTTGGGAGCCCATGTCAGGGATGGAGGAGCTTATGTGCTACCCAGCATGTGTGTAAGGGGTTGGGGAGTGCCCTAAGGGGGTCACTGGGGGTTCTGGGGGAAGGGCAGCAGTGGGTGGGTGTGATTCCTGAAGAAGCTGGGAACTGAGGTTGGGGGGCTGGCAGCTGATGTGGGGTTCACTTTTCAAGGGCTGAGAAGCGATGCGAGATTAGGATGTGGGCCCAGAGGGGGCGGTGGGGCTGAGCCGGGTACCGAGGGCGACCCGAAGGGGCCGCGGAGGCGCGCCGAGGGAGGCGGTGGCGCGCGTGTCCCGCGGCTCGGAGGAATACGACTGGGGCCGGGCGCCCGGTAGCGGCGCGGGCGGGGCGGGGCGGGGCACGGCGGGGCGGGGAGCGCACCCCAGTCCCCGCTGGAGCCGGAGCCCGGCGGCCGCGCCTCCTTCGCCATCCCCGCCCGGAGCCCGGCGCCGCCGCCGCCCCGCCGCCGCCGCCCCGCCGCCGCCGCCGCCGGCCTCGCCGTGACGCGCGCAGGAGTCTGGCCCGCCACCCGCCCTGCGAACGCCCCCGGCCCGGGCCGCGGGTCCCAGGTAACTAGGGGGCGCGAGTCGGGAAAGGGGACCGTAGGCCGAGCCCGGGAGACCTGCGGCGACTCCAGCCGGAGAACTCTCCGAGCCCAGGGGTCCTTCCTACTCGGGGGCGGGGGACAAGGCTCAGGGACCTGCCCCCCAGAGCCAGCGAAGGCCCTAGAACCTATCCCCTGAGCTCCCCCTCTGCACAGGGGCCCGGTCGGGGCCTGACCTCCCCTCTACCCCTCATATATCCATCTGAGAAGCCCAGGGCCCTGTGCTACCAGCTCCTGGGCCTGCCATCGCCAAGGGGCATAACCCATCCCGCGCGGCCCCCACGTCCCTGCTCCCCACTTTCCTGCTCCCTCAGTTCTGTTAAATCCCAAGAGACTGTTTTCACTACCCCACCTGCCCCCACTGCCCGCCCCCCGCCTGCAAATGGTTCCCACCCTATAACTTAAACTCATGGTCAGCCACTGCTGTCCTTGAACCTTTCTCCCCTAGCCCTGGGGTCCTGTCCACCCGCTGCAGCCCCAGGGCCCCCTGCTTCCAGTTCAATGCTTCCTGTCCCTGCAAAGGGACAGGAAGGAGTCTGGGCACCTGGGCAATGGGAGCAGGGCAGAGCCTCTGTGCAGCCTGCCTGTCCCAAGCCACAGCTGCCAGGACACTTGCACGGAGGGTTTGGGGTGTAAGGATCCCACAGTCAAGGGCAGCGAGCATAGCAGTGACCAGAGGCTGGGCTTGCTTAGCACGGATATTTTTCTTGCTCCTTCAGAGGGACGTGGCTCCTGTGCAGGCCATTCCTGTCCCTGACAAGGGATGGGTCTCAGGAGCTGTGTCCCCTCCTAGCCGGCTGCTTGCCTCTCTGTGCCTGGGAGCTGGCTACTTCTAGCCCTTCCCTCTGGGGCAGGGCAGCAGGGCTGGACGTGACCTCACCCAACAACCTGCTGGAGGTAGGGGAGGGGTGGGGGGAGGGCGGAGGGGGAAAACCACCCCAGCCAGGCCTGGACACTGTGTCAGCAATGTTCAGCAATGTTCACTCCCCCAGGCAGCTTTGAACCAAACTGTGGGTCCGAGGCCTGCTGGGTCTCCAGGAACAACGGCTCGTGGGCCATGGAGGCGGCACTGGAAGAGCCAGGGGTCCGGGAGCTGGGAGCCCACCGCTGCTCACACACCTGGAAATCACACCTCTGGGAGCTGAGCCTGGTCCAGCCAGGTGGTAGTTAGTGGGCAAAAGCACGGGGACGAAAACCCTGGAGAGAATGATGCTTTCAGTCCCCAAATACCGAGCTCGCACCCTGCATGAGGCACGTTCTAGGCGCTAGGATGGCGTCGTTACCTAGGCAGACAGGGCCTGGCACCAGAGAGCTGACCTGCTAGGGCGCTCTAGGAGACTGAGCCGCCGACTAGCCAACCAACTGATGGAGGGACAAGAAAATCCTCTGGTGACGCGCGTGGCGAGGACTGTGAAACCGGATGTTGTAATTCAAGCTGATGGTGGGGCTCCTTTGTCTCGGGTGGTCAGGGCAAGCCTGTCTGCGGAGGCGGCCTTTGAGGTGCGGCCTGAAGGAAGCGGCAGAAGGACCCCTGGGACCATTGGAGGGAACAGTGTCGTAGGCGGGGAACGGCAGCAGGGGTCCTGCGTGGGAAGGAGTTAGACTGGTGGAGAAAGAAGAAAGGCCAGCGAGGCTGTGGCCGGGAGCACTGAGCAGAGCACTGAGCAGAGCACTGAGCAGGGGCAGACAAGCGGAGGGGTGGGTGGGGACCGGGAGCGAGCAGGGTGGCCGTCCTGTGGAGGCACAACACCGCTTTCCTGACCGAAGGGCCCAGGAGACACGGGCTGTTCGGCTGTCCCTCATTTCATGGTTCCTCTCTTCCCAACTGGGGGGATTTGCACCGGGTGGGGGTTGGGAGGAGGTGGAGGGGGACCCTTCCTGGCCCCAATAGCAGTCACACTGGGGGAGAGGGCCAGGCCACAGGTGAGGGGGAGTGTCCCTGGTGCGGGTGAGGATCCTGCCCGTGGGTGGGATCTTTACTGTGGGGCGGAGATAGAGAGACACCAGGGAGCCAGGTGTCCAGGTAGGGATGTCCTGAAGCCCTGATAAGATCCGATCTGTCATGGGGTGGGGAGGCCCAGTCGGGCAGGCAGCTGCTCCTGCTCAGTCATTGGTTGCCAACAGCAGCGAGTAGCGTTTGTTCTGGAGCCAAAGCCTCCAGGCAGAATCCAGGTGCAGGGAGGGAGTGCTTGGTGCGGCTGCCCGTGGGGCAGGTGGGCAGGAGAGCCCCGCCCCGCCCCCTGCTGGGCACCAGGGAGCCCCCCGCCCCCTCCCCATGGGACACCTACCTTTTCCTGGGAGAGGGGCAGCTTGGTCCTGCTCTCTCGGTGCAGGTGCCAGTGGTAGCCTGGCTTGGGGCTGGTGCTCTCTGGGTGGCTTGTCTCAGCTGTGAGGGTGCCAGGCTGGGAGGGGAAACGGGAGACCCTTGTTTCCCCCTGCAGTGGGGAGGGGGCTGCTGGCCACCCTGCTTCCCATCTCTGGGTGCTCGGAGCTGAGCCCACAGGCCCGAGACCGCAGGTCCCCTTGAATTAGTGGGGCCTTCTTTCCTGCTGCAGGCTGGCAAGAGGCAGAGCTGATGGTAGGGGCTCAGGAGCCAAGAGCAAAGTGGCCCTGGTGACGATGGCCCAGCTGGCCTGCTGAGCCCTGCTCTACCCCTTGATGCCCACGGGGCCCACGCAGCTCATCCTGGGGCCATCTCTAGCTCAACACAAGTGCAGTCCCTCTGGGGCTGGGCCGGTTCCAGGTCCCCCCCCCCGCCCCGCCACCCCGCCCCACCTGATCCTATTGCTTGTCAAGTCTGTGGTTCCACTGCTGGCCGTTCCCCTCCCCTCCCCACCTCCCCAATCCCCTTTGCTGGACTATTTTGGGTGGCAGGCAGGGTTTGCTCTTGCAAACCTCGTTAGGAGCTGCGTGGGGCAGAGCTCCCTGGGACACAGGGCCGGTGCGAGCCAGCGGGCCCTTGGCCACCCGGGCTTCCCGTGGAAGTTTGCTTTTCCGCTGGTTTGTGTGGGGCTGACTCTAGGGTCTGGGGTCTGGGACAGGGTGTGGACCTACGGGCGGACATGGCAGGGTGCTCCTGAGAGCTGGGTGGCCACCGTGGCCGGGGGGTGCGCTGGGGAAGTGGCTGGTGGAGCCGGGAAGGGAGGCCTGCATGAGGCAGGTGGGTCTTGGCCGCGCTGTGGTCGTTTCTAGGCCTTTGGCTGGGCAGCAGCTCTTGAAATGAGAACAACCCTTGTGTTTGAGGCGGAAGCTCTGGTTCCGAAGTGGGCAGGCAGGTGCCTCATGGATTTATTTTCTCATTTAAAGTTGTTGGATTTATGCTTTTTTTTTTTTTTTTAAATAATGGAGAGACAGAGGCACAGAATTGTTAGCGGCTGGCTTGAACTACCCAGCCAGCTGGATTGATACGCCTGGCTGTTCCCCCATTGGGGCCGCCTTGAAGGAACCCAGGGCCTTGGGGTTTCCTCGTACGCATGACCCGAAAGGGGCCTTCCATGCTGTGGCCACATAGCCAGGGGCCAGCCTGCTGTCGTCTTGAGGGGAAATTTATGGAGCTGGTCCTTGCTTTGGGGGCCACGCAGCCCCTGGGGCTGGTGGTGGAGACAGAGCTGGGAAAATTAACCTGTCTCTGATGGCCGGAGCCCAGGTGTGGCAGGGCCACTGGGAGCCAGAGCCAGGGAGGGGAGCCCAGACCAGACTTTGCAGGAGGGAAGCAGACCGCTTGGGCGTCTCACATGGGAGGGAGTGAATGGACAGGGGGGCAGCTGAGGGGGTGCTGCAGGGCCTGTCAGGACGCAAGTGGGATAGGGGTGCATGCCCCCCCTCACCCGCCTTGTTTGCATATGCCCACTGGGCTGGTCCCATCTGGTTCCTTGTTAGGGACTCAACAGACAGGCCTCCAGGAGATTAATTAATGCCAAGCTGCCGGCAGATCCAGCAGCACGGCTGCCCCAGGCTCTCTCCTGGCAGCAGAGATGCCCAGCTGACCCCAGAAATGCTGCTCGTCCCGCCCAGCGATCCTGAAGACGTGGGGGGCCATGCCGCTGGCACAGCCCTGCCCGAGCCTGGACGTCAGAGAGGGCTTAGGAGGTGGCGAGCAGCCAGGGATGGCTGCGCGACATTCCCCACATCGCGCCTGCGTCCATCCCCTGCTCGGAAACTTCTCATTCGTCCTCGGCTGCGTGCGCGCCCTGGGCGTGCTGTGTGGCCTTAGCCATGCTGCTTAGCCTCTCTGGGCAACTTTATTTTTTCATCTGTGAAATGGGTGTTGCACTGGGTCACCACTGAGACCGCCCCGCCCCGCGTCCCAGCCTTCATTATCTGTTGATTCATAATCTGATTCTGAGTGGTCCTTGTTGGCACTCACATTTCCCGCCCCACTTGACTTTCCCTTGGCATCCCTTCTGCCACCTGGCTGTGTCCTCCGCCCCAGGCCCAGGTGACTGCTAGTTCTCCCTGTAATCAACTTCTGCCCATGCTCAGGACATGGGGCGGGGGTGGAAGACACTGTGTGGCCCGGCCTGAGCCAGCGCCTTCCCAGCACCAGGGCGGGGCGAGACCTCTGCTGTACCAGGGCCACCTCCGGCAGGCTGGCGGCACATTCCTCAGGCTTATCTGTGGGCCCGCCCCGCTGGACTCTGCCCTCCCACCCAGGAAGCAACACCCAGAGGAGCTGCTAAAGAGTTCCAGGAGCTGGGAGCAGGGTCCCAGCTGCCGGAGGTGACATTCTCAGCTTCCTGCCTGGGGCTGGAGAGAAGCCGGTATAGGATGGGGTGGGTAGAGGGATGGGGTGGGTAGAGGGATTGGGGTGGGGGCGTGTCTGCTGAGACTGACAAAGCAAATTGTTCCTAACCTCAGGGAACATTCTTGTTGCCATCGCCTGGGGACCCCTCCATCTCTGGGAGGCTTCCGTGGTTCTCCTGCGCAGGGAGGGGGCAAGTTGCCCTAAGTCTGCCCCAAAGTTGTAACAGGAGAGAGGGCCGGACAGCAGCTCCCCGGCCACCTCTTCCACTGCCCCCACCTCCACCGCGGTGCCAGCGCCCTTCCTCCCAGGAAGGGGTTAACTGCCAGCCCCAGCCGTGAGGGAGGGGACTGGGCTGGACCATTTTCCTCGCGGCTGCCTCCACCTCGGTTTTTCCTGAATGGTTCTGTCGTCCAGGGGTGGGGAGGGAAGGGAAGGAAGAAGGGCGGGAGGAGGGGGGAGGAGGGGAGGGAGGAGTGTGGGAAGAGGAAGGAAAAAAGAGCGAGACAGCCAGGGAAGAGAAAGATGTCACTGTCTAATCTCCCTGTCATTTTTATTTCCAGCAGGCACCGGGCGAAGGAGCTGCTAGAACAATGCTGAGGCGGGCGAGGTGAGGAGCGGCCGGCTCTGCCGCTGCACGGAAGCCCCGAAGGGGGACCTCGAACAGGTGATCCGAGGAGCCCGAAACTGAGGCCACCTGGGCATCCCTCGCCTCGCCTTGGCCAGGCCCTGAGTCCAAGAAACGGTGGGGAAACCATGGCGACCAATTTCAACGACATCGTCAAGCAAGGCTATGTGAGGATGAAGAGCAGGAAGCTTGGGGTGAGCCGCCCTCTGAGGGCCCTGCTGAGGGACAGGCACGGAGGACTTGGCGGGTCGGGGTACAGGGCCCGGCATCGTGCATTTGCGGTCGCTGGGCTCCCGGCCGGCCGGCTGCCTGGCATGTGCCCGGGCCCGGCCCTGCCTGCTGCAGCCCCCGCCCGGCAGGACTGGCTGGCATCCCAGCGGCTGGGCCAGCGGTGGCCGCCGAGGCTCCTTAGCTATTGTTGAAGTTGTCGCCAGGGCAGCGGCAGGGGCCAGGAGCGCTGGAAATGTCGGGCTGCCTCTGAGCTGAGACCCCCTTCTCACTTCCCCGCTGCCCCTCTCCCAGGGCTGCCTCCCTCCTTCTCCCCTCCCCTCTCCCGGCTGCCTTTCTTTTAAGTACCTTCTGGACCCCTGCTTCCCATTGCTTTCTGTGTACAGGTATTTATCTTTGGTTGTTGCTTTTACCGTTAAAGGAGTGTTTGAAAAGGAGCGTGGCCGGCCGTGGGGGCGCGACGGGCGCAGAGGCCGATGTGTATGTGGTTTCTGAATGAGAACTCGGGGCTGTGGCCCTGAGTTGCTCCCGCTGTGCCCGGCGTGGCCTGGAGCTGAGGCTTGGAGACGAAGCCTCAGATATACCTGGGTGTGTGCCCTCTCCCGCCCCCTGCTGGTGAAGACCCCCCACAAGGCATAAGCAGGGGCCCCAGGGCCCCACTTAATGATCTCGCGGAATTGTCCAGGAGCTAGCTGCCCCTGTCCCGCTGCCCACCCTTCCCCCCTGCACTGAGAGGTCAGGCGGCAGCCCCCTCCTGGAAAAGAAAGGAAAGAAAGAAACGCTGGTGACTGAGGTGGCCCAAGTCTAGTGTGTTACCCGGGTCTCTGGTGCCTCCCTTCTTCCCTCCCCCTGGCCTTGGTGGGGTCCGGGTGGGATCAGACTGCTCAAGGCTTCCTGGCTGTGCCAGAGTGGGGTGGGGGAGGAGCCGGGCTCCATACCAGCTCCCTGGCCTAGGGACTGCCTGGGCACAGGACGGAGCAGCGCTGGCCTTGGAGAGGGGCTCTCCCTCCTGCCTGGGGGCCCTGTGCGGGTGGGCATGTTTGCAGCCTTATCTGAATTCGGATTCCTGTCCCATCCTCGGCTCCAGCCCAGGAGACTGGGCTCTGGTGGCCACGAGCCCTTCTGCTTTTACCCTGAGAGGGGGCTGGAGCCCACTGGGAGCACAGAGATGCTGAGGCTGAGGTGGGGGGGGGGCGGTGCTGAGTGGGCGGCGGCCCAGCTCCTAGTGTGGCTCCTCATTCCTATGGGCGCCGGACTACCAGGTCCCCAGGGGCCAGCTGGGCTGAGGCCCTGTGCAGGACAAAGCTTGCCTGGAAGGCAGGCCGCTTGGGGCAGCCACTGGGCTCAGTGTGAGAGCTGTCCTGGCAGAAGGGGAAGCTCCAAGGTGGGCACAACCTGGGGAAGGGACGTTGGGAGCTGAGGCATGGCCGAGCCACCGCCCCCCGGGAATTCAGCTTCTCCAGACAAACCTGATACCGGGACTGCAGTCACCCCCAGGACAGCCATTATGTCTCTCCCACAGAGGGGAGGGGGGAGGGTCTGCAAGAGACCAGGAGCCCACCCTCCTACCTGCCAGGCCTTCCTCCCAGGCAGCGCTGTGGCAGTGTGTCTGAAATAGTGATCAAAGACCTGTGAGAAGTGGGGAAGGAGGGCTCTTGAGCGCAGTGGCTCCCTGGGGCTCTGTGAGTGTGTGTATCCCTGTAACCAGGCAACCAGGGTGCTCGGGCCCCCCAGGCCTTTCGCCCCTGACGCTGCAGGCTGCGTGGAGCCCAACCTGGCGGGGCATATCTGGGTCACGCGTCCATCCATCCATTCATTCACGGCCTGTCATACGGTCATTCAGAGCTCTGTTAACGAGGCTCTCAGGATGTGAGTGAGGGTTCTGAGAATGAAACACCGTGTTTGCCCTGAAGGAGCTCCGGGCTGAGAGCTGAGTGAGGCCTGCTGCCGTTTAGGTAGGTAGGCCAGGGGCTGAGCCAGGATTGCGGGATGGGGGCTGCCCAGGCCCCCTGCACCCGGGACTCTGCCTGCCATGGACCTGGTGCCTTCATAGCAGAACAGGGCTGGGAGGGGGCAGGGGCTATGGCCCAGAAGCCCCTCACCTCCTCTGCTCTGCTCTGCTCTGGGCCACCCCTTGGTCTCCCCACTGTTGGCCATTGTGAGGAGCACCAGAGATTTCTGGGGGATGGGGTCTGCAGGCCTCCAGAGTGCCCGCTGAGAGGGGAGGTGCGTGCCAGCCAGACTCTGGGCTGAGGCAGGGGGTGGGGGGCATGGGAGGAAGAGTCTGCAGCCCGGCCAGGGGGCCAAGGCCACCCCTCAAGTTGTCTGGCCCACCAGTCTGCCCCTGGAGCCCTAGAGAATGACCTGCTCCCTCTCTGGCTCTGTGGCCCTTGGGAAGAGTCCAAGGAGCTATAAAGGATTTGGGTGGTTTTAGGCGCAGGGTCATGGGCAGTGGCTGGACACGGAGGGAGTCTTGCCAGGGAAGGCCCTGTGCTCCAGTGTAACCCCAGGTTCCTGGCTCTGGTTTCCCAAATGGAACCGGCCACTCGCCCTGGCCCCCTACGCCCCAGGGCTGGTTGGAGAATGAAAGGAGGGTGAGTGGAAGCTCCTGGAGTCCAGAGCGGGCATTGCCCACATCGAGCCCTGGCCCGGCAGCTCCGAGGACGAGGCTGTGGTGCAGTGCAGGCCGGGAGTGGAAACGGGGCCGATCCCTGTCCCCAGGACACTCCCTCTGTGCGGCTGGTGCTGCTGGAGCCCCAGGCAGGACTTTGTGAGCAGGGGGCTCCGAATTTCGGCTCTGTGGATAAACAGCCTGTTCGAAAGACTAACTCTACCATTTATTAGCTGTTATGTAACTTTTGGTGCCTCAGTTTCCTTATCTATAAAATGGACAGAACAGAACTGACCTCAAGAGTGACCCTTAGGTTAACTGTGTAGAGCGCCGATACCAGAAAGGACCAATAAGGGGCACTCGGTAAATGTTGGCTACTTCTGTCACAGTAGAATGATGTGGAGGTTGGGGCGCCGAGCCCTTTCCCGCACAGTAGAACGTCTTTTGACTCCTCGGCTGTCCCTCGGTACCCATAGGAGATTGGTTCCAGGGCCCCTGCAGGTACCAAAATTCACAATGCTCAAGTCCCTTACATAGAATTGCATAGGAACAATGCGTACAGTGGGCCTTCCACATCCACAGATGCCCAACCGCAGATTAAAAGTCCTGTGAAGCCCTGGCCGCTGTGGCTTGGTTGGTGGGAGCATCGTCCTCATAAACCAGAAGGTCACCAGTTTGATTCCCTGTTAGGGCACATGCCTGGGTTGCTGGTTCGATCCCGATCCATGTTTCTCTCTCACATTAATGTTTCTCTCCCTCTCTCCCTCCCTTCCCCTCTCTCTAAATTCAATAAGTACGTCCTTGGGTGAGGATGAAAGAACATCCTGTGATACCCAGGATACAGAAGGTGGACTGTATGTTTATTGAAAAAAAAAATCCATGTGCTGTATAAGCAATTCAAACCTGTGTGGTTCAGGGGTCAACTGTACACTCAGAGCTGAGCTCTCTGTAAACAGAGTTCACCCTTTGTGGAACAGCCCCTCAGAGCCAGCCAAGAAATGATAGCCTGTTCAGTTTGGGCAGGGGAACACCGCCCCCCCCACCCCACCCAGGGGGAGTGTCAAGCTGGAGTCAGCAGCTCCAGGTTCTCTCCTGGGCTGGGGCCTCCGGGCGTAGCCTGTGTGGTGCTGCCCCCTGCGGCAGGCAGGGGTAACTGCAGGGCCCTGTTGGGTGGCCAGCAGGCCAGGGAAGCCTGATCCCTGGGTCATCTTGCCCCACAGATCTACCGCCGCTGCTGGCTGGTGTTCCGGAAGTCCTCCAGCAAGGGGCCCCAGCGGCTGGAGAAGTATCCGGACGAGAAGTCAGTGTGCCTCCGAGGCTGCCCCAAGGTGAGGGGCCGGGGCCCTAGCTCCTCTAACCTGTAAGCAATGATGATTTACGAGTCCCGAGGTCCAAGAGCGCCCTCCTGTGGGGGAGGGGGACAGAACTGTGGGGGATGCAGAGGGAGGCAGTCCAACCTGGCTGAGTCCTTTGTGGATGCTGCTGCCCCAGGTGACTGAGATCAGCAATGTCAAGTGTGTCACGCGGCTCCCCAAGGAGACCAAGAGGCAGGCGGTGGCCATCATATTCACTGATGACTCAGCTCGTACCTTCACCTGCGACTCAGGTGAGGACCGGGGGTGCAGGCCTCCGTCCAGCAACCCCGTGGGAGAAGGCAGAGCAGGGCCAGCCCTGGCTGGTATGTGATGCTTGGGGGTGCCTTCGAGTGGGCAGGCCCCCAGGATGAGGTGGGCAGGCCAGCAGAACTCGCTGGCCGTGCCCTCCCTGCCCTGCCTGGTGGGACTGCCCCGGCTGAGTAGGCGGGGCGGGCTGCGGGCAGCACGGTGAGGTCCCGTTTTCTCCAGAGCTGGAGGCGGAGGAGTGGTACAAGACCCTGTCTGTGGAGTGCCTCGGGTCGAGGCTCAACGACATCAGTCTGGGAGAGCCGGACCTCCTGGCCCCCGGGGTGCAGTGTGAGCAGACAGGTGAGGCGCCGCGGGGGAGGGGGAGGGGTGGCGGGGCGGGGCCGGCGCGGCGGGAGGCCTCCCCGGGGAAGCTCCAGGCCCGCTCCACCCTCTCCCCGTGCAGACCGCTTTAACGTCTTCCTGTTGCCGTGCCCCAACCTGGATGTATATGGCGAGTGCAAGCTGCAGATCACCCACGAGAACATCTACCTCTGGGACATACACAACCCCCGCGTGAAGCTCGTCTCGTGGCCCCTCTGCTCGCTGCGCCGCTACGGACGGGATGCCACACGCTTTACCTTCGAGGCTGGCCGGTAGGACCCCCTTACCTCCCCCCGCCAACCAACATGGTCATGAGGGTGGCTGCCACTCACCTGTGTCAGGCACTGTGCTGGGAACTTAAGGAACTGATCAGCGTAGCCACCCGAAAGGGAGTGTACCATTCCCATTTTACCGATGAAGAAACGGAGGCTCACCGCGGGCAGGTGGGGGAGGGGGGCGGTTTACTGAAATCAAACTGCTTGGCCTCGCACCAGATGCAGGCACTGGCAGGGACAGGTTCTGGGATTGTGGGCCTCACTCTCAGTTGCCTCATCTGTCACAGTGGGGACAAGAAAAGCCCCTAACCTCGTGGAGTCGTGGTGAGGATTGGGCACCCACAGCATGAACTCAGGGGGCAGCTTGCCTAGACTTGAATTCTGTGTGATCCACCGTGTAACCTTGGTGAAGTTACTTACTTTGTATATGCCTCAGTCCCCTCGCTGTAAAGGGGTTTGGGAAAACCCCGAATAACGAGGACACTGTAAGTGCATGGAACAGGGAGGGTGGCTGAGAAAACTGAATGGGCTAATTCTTGTAAAGGATTTAGACCACCACCTGGCACACTGAAAATGCTCAGTCCATCTGTCCGTGCCGTGTGTGGTCAGACCCTGCGCAGCAGCCCCACGCGTTTCCCAGGGGTGCAGGAGAGCCCATCGGGTACGTGCATGTGTGGGATGGAGTCCCCAACACCTCGCCTCTTGTGTCCCCAGGATGTGTGATGCTGGCGAAGGGCTCTACACCTTCCAGACGCAGGAAGGGGAACAGATTTACCAGAGGGTCCACAGTGCCACCCTGGCCATTGCTGAGCAGCACAAGCGGGTCCTGCTAGAAATGGAGAAGAATGTGCGGGTGAGGCAGTGGGCGTCTTGGGCCCCCGGTGCAGGGGAGTCCGGTGGGTGGACAGGCCGGCCGGCAGGCCAGTGCCCGGAGTGCGCCAGCGTCTCCATGCAGTGCACACAGCAGAGGCAGAGAGGCAGGGCTCGGGCCGGGCTGTCGGGGGTAAGCCACGGCTCCCGGGGCTAATGGGAGGGACCCCTTCTCTGGCCCACAGCTGCTCAACAAGGGCACGGAGCACTACTCCTACCCCTGCACACCCACGACCATGCTGCCCCGCAGCGCCTACTGGCACCACATCACAGGCTCCCAGAACATCGCCGAGGCTTCCAGCTACGCCGGTGAGTCCCTGCAGCGCCCCACGGCCACCTGCCCCGAGGCTGCGCAAGACAAGGCCTTCTGGGCAGGGGTCTTTCCACCTGGACCGGAGTCCTGAGCCTGCCTCTGTGTCTGCAGGTGAGGGGTGTGGGGCAGCCCAGGCCAGCTCAGAAACGGACCTCCTCAACAGATTCATCCTGCTAAAGCCAAAGCCCAGCCAGGGGGACGGCAGCGAGGCCAAGACCCCAGCCCAGTGACAGGAGGGCTGGCGCGCACTGATGACTACCGTGGCTGCCCACTGCGGGGCTGGCCGCAGCGTACCGTGGACCGCCTCGAGGGGCTACTGGCCAAGAGCCTGGAGACAGGGAGCAAGCTGTCCCTTCCTTGCCCCCGTGGGTGAGGCTGGGCCAAGGCACAGGGCTGGCCACACCACCTGAGCATGTGTGAGGGGCTGGAGCCACCACGGGACTATATACTGTTCATGATTTTAATATATATGGCTTATGACATATTCTATATTAACGAGATGCCCCCCGTCCCTCCCTGCCACCACATACACATTTTTGAACCCCACGACCAGGCCACAGTCAAGGCTGGCTTTGAATGTCCCCGGTGGCACAGCCCTCCCGCTGCCAGGACGCGCTCGAGCTGCCCAGCCAGGAGACAACCGGGACTCCAGGCGGCGCTCGGCCGGTTTTGCCCCGGCAGCCCGCAGGCTGAGGCAGCAGGTGGCTTAGTTCCTCCAGGGCTAGAGTGGCACAGGAAGATCCAAACCTGCTCTGTACCACTTGGTGACATCTGGGTGACACCTCAGGTGAAAATCTGGCTTGAAAATTTCTGCCCAGGCCCCTTCCTGCTTTGCAGGCTAAGCCGCCCTCTGGGTGGGTTGCTGGTAGCCTCAGCCTGGAGGTGAGCCAGTCCCCAGCGCATCCCCACCCTGGGGCAGGCCAGGAGGGACACGGGCAGGACTGCTGTGAGGAGCTCCCTGCTGCCCCCTCGCTGACTTGGGATGGGCAGGGCCCCAGCAGAGGGGCCCCTCTCCGTGTCTGGCCACCCTCTGGCCAGAAAGCACTCAGAAACCAGCCCTCCCCATCCCCCCGCCCCACATGGTGCTGAGGCTCCCGCTGAAATGCAATTAAAGCAATTGATTTTCTAGTGCTGGTATTTATTGACTACTGGGCAGAAGGGCTATCTTTCTATCCACATCAAACCTTTGGTTGTGTGTATGTTTTTTTTTTTTTTTTTTAAATACTTTAGGATTCTGATTTGTGGGAACAGACCTTGTTACCTTGATGTAAATAACCACTATTCGAGTTGCGGCAGCAGGATAAAGCAAGAGGCCCCTCCAGCAAAGCTCTGGAGCCGGGGGGTGGCCACAGCCAGCCATGCGCTAAGCCTGACCCAGGGGACAACCACCCGGAGGAACGAGCCGGCCTGGGGACCAGAGCGAGGCCAAGGCCCGGGGAGGTGGGCGGGGCTGGCTGGCTCAGCTGGTGGCACGATGACGCATGAAGGAGATTATGTTGTGCTCTTTATTGCCAAAAATAAAAACTCTGTTAATAAATATCACTTCCTTTCTGTACTGTATCTCTGGTTTTCTCCAGACTCCTCCTGCCAGGCTGCCCAATTAGCGGCTTTGGATGTGCTCCTACCTACGGGGCATTAAGGCCCTTGCATCTCTCCCCTTCCCACCCCCAAACTGGAAGTGAGGTCCTAACTGATGCGTAGAGAATGAAATACAGGGTTTATTGGGGGTGAGGGGGTGGCACAGCCAGGGTCTAACACTGTTCTCAAATTAGGGACACTCAGGAATTCGGGTGAAGCGTCAGCAGGCTGGCCCGGGCAGGGACCGGGATTGTAGGCAGCCTGAATGAGGGCGCTTGCACTCAATCCCAACACCAGAAACCTAAGGTGCAGCTGTGAAAACGCCTACTATTGGATAGAAAAAGAAAAAAAGACCGGAGATGACCAAAAGAGGAGGGTCCTGCTCGGTGGTTTTCAACAGGGAAGCAGCGCGACCCCTACAGGCAGGTTAGGAAATGGGGGAGGGAGGTCTGGGTTCTGGGGTGACGGCTGGCAATCAGCAGGCTGGGCCAGGGATGTGGCATGTCCAGTGAGACTGTCCGGCCTCAAATACCAGTGTCACCCTGGTAATCTGCCTGTGCCCGGGCAAGCAGGGAGGGGCCTTCCCCACCGCTACCTCTCTAGCTGGTGCTGATGGCCCAACAGGAAGTGTGGATAACCGCCATCCAGGCCCCAGAAACAAGACGTCTCAGGACAGGCGCGAACACAGCTGGGACCCCTGGGCCGCAGCCGGTGCGCCACAGCTAGTTTATGGTCAGGACATCACTCTGGATCTCGTGGCTTAACTGGGTCTGCAAATCGCTCAGCTTCTTCTTCAGCCCAGAGAGGGCCGAGAGGACGATGGTTTCAGGGCGCAGGGAGCCACAGGACTCCACGTTGTAGTAAAACCTGGGAGGCACGGATCCGGTGAGAGCCCACCCCGGCGGGCAGGCTGGCCAGAGCTCCCGCCCTCAGTCTCGCCTCCTTCCCCACCGGGACCTCAGCCTGCCTCAGGGCCAACCTCCATCCTCCTACGAACGGTGGCCTTCACAGGACCTCAGAGAGGCTACAGCCACCTCAAAAAGACACTGTGAACCCCCGCAAGCCCTCCTGTGCGGTGAGAAGCAGAAAACAGAGGTGGGGCCGCTCGGGCTGTGTCCATCACAGACGGCCGATCCGTTTCTGGCCCTGGGTGGACGCTTCTTTGGAGACTGAAAATCAGAACTGGAACAGCCTGGATAACCGGAGGCCGCTTTCTCACAGCGACTGAAGGGGGACGCGCACGTCATGGGTTCGGCGGCCATCAGCCCCATCTCAGCTTACGGGGGCCGCACGTGAGGGAGAGGGTCTCCCTAACGCAGAACCTGCACCAAAGTTGCACGCCCTTGCACACCCCACCCTCCCGTGCCAGCCCTGGCTCTCACCTCTCCGGCTTGCCGTTGGGGTCGTAGGGAGCCTGGGATTCGTCCTCGTCCAGCTCCGAATACTCGCTCTTCGGCCTGGGGTCAAGCACAGGGCAGCAGGGGGTCGCTACTGCTGCTTTCAGGGCCCCTGTGCCCACAGCGAGCCCGCCCACGTCGGTTACCGTGCCCGCCACCCCCCCCCCCCCACCCGCCACCGTCACTCCCAGCCGGGACCCACCACTCCTCTGGCTTGGGGTACACCGTGTGCCTCAGGGCATTGTCGGGATCATATTCGAAAGCCACCCCTGCAGTCGGGTTCCACTTGGCGTGCTCCTTGCCAAAGCCCTTTTTGGCGTAAGCGCGAAGCCTCAGCTCCTGGCCCTTTCGCAGCTTGACAATGAGGATGTCTGCGGGGAGGGGTGGGTGGGAGTCACTCAGCGGCCAGGAGACGCACGGCCTCCAAACTGAGACCCGCAGTGCCGCTGGAAGGCCACCCACGGCTGGAAAAGCGCACCAAAGGCCAGCTGAGAGGGAGACCAGGCAGCACAAGAGGCGGCGTCAGGTCCCTGCCTCCTGCTGGCCTGCAGGGCAACAGCTCAGGGGGACACCTGCACACGCGCCCCAGCCCCTTACCGTCCTGCTCCACATAGTCATTGGGGTCATTATCTCGGTTCCGGGATGTCACCTGGAGGGGGCCCAAACGGAGACATTTATTAGCTCTTCATCTCCCAGGCACTTCGAGGTCACAAGCTGACAAAGCAGGGTCAGGGTGCCTGGGAACGAGGTGGCAGGAGTGCCTGCTAGGACCCCATGTGGGCTGGTGACGACTCCCACCCCTACTGCATGGCTCTGTGACAGCCTGCTCAAAGCAGTACCGCAGCCTTTTACAAGGGTCCTGGGGTGACGGAGGCCTCGGGGAACCAACAAAGCTTCCGCCCAGGCCGGCAGGGGTCCTGAATTGGCACTTCCAGGCACCAGAGGGCGGCCTGGGGAAAGGCAGTGCCTCATGAGACTGCAGCCTGGTCTGGCCCGGCCGGAGGCGGGAGAAACGCGCAGGCCCAGGGCGGGGAGGCGGTCCTTAGACACTGACTGGAATGACCCGGGGGCTGTTGGAGATGAGGTCTCGAGATGTGACGTGACGGGTCTGGTCCTCGTTGCACCGCACGTCGAGGGTGAACTCCACCGAGCACTCGGGGCAGAACTCTTCGCACGTGCAGTCCTGAGGCAGGGAGACAGCAGGGGTGAGTCTGCGGAGACGGCGAGCCCTGAGCTCCCTGCTCCCGACCCCCGCTGCTTCCCCTTCCTCATAGGCCTGAGCGCTGACCAGTCTCCAGGCTCTCGGGGGCTGTGTCAGTCTGGTGAGCTTCTCAAAGAAACGCGCTTCCGTTTGGGGCACCCGGGCGTTCTGACACCCACGCTTCCTCCCGCACCCCGCGGCTGCCCTCGTCCCAGCCGGGCCGGGAATGCTCTTCCCCCAGCACCTTCCGCCGCGACGCTCTAGCCCAGCCTCCCACGGACTCAGTGGACTAACTCAGGAACGTCATCACCATTTAAGATAAAATAAAGGGAACTACAGAAAAAAGTACCTTTCAAGTTCTAGGCTACTGACCTTTTCTTAAACAACAAAAATTTCTATTATAGAAAATTTCATACATTCACAAAAGCCAAGAAAAGTGTGAGACAGAGACGGCCACCGTGAAACCATCCCTCAGCTTCAGTAATTACCTGGTTCGCCATTCTTAAAACACCCCACTCCCTGATAAGCAGTTACTACAATGTAATCAGGCAAGCTGTCCCCCTTCACACCAGTGAGGCCAAGGCACCCTGGTTCGGTTGTTTTGGAGATGATGTCGGAGAACTAGAGGCCACACCCGGGCAAGTCTGCAGCCACGCACAGGTGAGGTGGGAAGGTGGCCCCAACCCGTGAGACCGACTCACTCTTAGAAATACGATATGGAAGATGCAAAATGTAACATAAGATAAAAATAGGAAAAGGTACTCAACGTCCAAAAAAAAAAAAGTATGACAGGAGGAGTCTGGTCAAGATTAAAAGAGACTGAAGAGGGAAAACCCCCTAATGCAATATATAAATCTTGGCCGGATCACAGACCCACAGGCAATGAAGGATTTGGGGGACAATGAGAAAAATCTGAGTTATCAACTGGATATTACAAATTAGTGCACGTTTTCTTAGGCATGCTAGTAATGCGGCTGTACAGGACAATATCCTCGTTCTTAGGACGTACATGCTGAAGTAGTGTAGGACCTGCGACTTTCTTTCAAATGGTCCAGCAAAAATAGTAACACATGTATATATAAAATAAAGCGAATGTAGCAAAATATTAACAATTGATAACTAAAGGGGAAAAGTAAGTGGGTATTATTGTCTCTTCAACTCTTCTGTAAGATTTTCAGAAAAGCAAAACGGACTATCCCATTTCAGTAAACGTGACACCAGAAATTTAAAGGAAGGGACCGCTAGGTCATAGGGCATGCGTTATCTTTGTATGAGACACAGCCCAACTCCGCTTCAGTTGGCTGTACACCTGTCCCCAGCAGTATCTGTGTTTTATTTCTTAAAAACAAAATTCTGTAGATGTGAAACAAATATAGCAAAATGTGTAAATGTGACAAGTTGTTTGGTAGAAGCATGAGTATCTATTATATTCGCTCCATGCTCTACTTGAATATTTCTTTTAAAAATTATAAATTTACAGCGGTTATCAACTTAGCCACCACAAAAGTGACACGCCCTGGGGAATTAGAAGACGGGCTGACTCAGGCTCACCCAAGCCAGCCGGAGGGAACAGCCCCCAGCCATCGCCTGATGCAGTCCGGCGGGGGGGGGGGGGGGCGGCACCTAACCCTGTCCGGTCCCCCCCCCCGCCGTCCGAGGCCTGTCGATGCATCGGCAGAGCAAACGCAGCCCTGGAGGACGGGGGCCACGCCGATGGCATCGCCTCTGGGATGAATCACAAATCTGGCAGACACCAGCACCCCGTCCCTCGGGCCCTGCTCCGTGGGACAGTTCTCACCCACTGTCCTGTCCTCCCGGCCGCCCCCATCCCCAACCTTCTGTTGACTCCCTTTAGCCTCCTAGGCCCCCGTCGCTGGAAGAGATGCTCTGGAAAGCAGAGCCTGAACGGATCAGGCTCTGAAAAGGAACAGCCCCGCCGTCTGGTATGAAGGGGCATTCTGGTGTACGCCCCTCTTGCGTGGCGGGCTACAAGGACTCCCTGATGCCCTGTGAGACAAATCAATCTGAGACCCCTCAGAACCAAGGACCTTTGCCTTCCTCGGGCCTAGACAACATCTCCACAGTGTCCTTCTAAAGGGTAGAAGCAAGACATCAGGAAAACCCTTCTGAGAACCGAAGGCCCCCTCCTCCCCCGCCGCTCATCCCACCCCATGACCCAGCACACCCGGGAGTACTGCAGCTTGTCCACGATGTCATCGCTGGTGAGGGGGATTAATCCTGGAAGAGAGAGAGAAGCACTTTGAAGACGGCCAAGTTGGCTAGGCCAAAAGGAGCACCTGGAAGCTCCCTTGCGGGGGAGGAGGGCTCCTCTCGGACACACACCAGGCACAGCCCCCTCCCTTTCACCTTCCAAAACCCAGCACTCACCAAGCCTGTGAGCGATGAACTCGTCATGAAGGACTGAGGAATTGGCATCAATCTGAACCCAGTCGATGGCTAAAAAGCAAAGGGAGCAGACATGCGGCTTAGCTGCCAAATTCACCCGAAGACTTACAGCGGCGGTTCTCCGGGCTTAGGGGTCGCCTGATCCTTACTAAACCGCCGAGGCCTGGCTCAGGCTGCCAGCCCGATTCACGCCGCTCTCCAGCGGGGCCCAGGACCCTGCATTGTAACAAGAATGGCCCACGCCACACCCCCCACCCCCTCAGGACGGTTTCAGTCAGAGGGGTTCCCTGTACCACAGAGAAAAATCAATGACTTAGAGAACAGTACAGGAGCAGGCACGTGTTCCTCGGAGCTCAATGTTTCCATGAGAAGCCCTTTTATCTGCTATTCATGCAAACACCAAATACAAGAACACAAAACTATCTGGGTAATTAAATCTTAGGGAAAACCTCACCGATGTTAATACAGACTTCTGATCCACATCTCATTTTATGGCGTAATGACCAGTTACCCTTTATTTAACACCATCACCACTCAACCAACCAATGCTTACGGAATACCTTTAATGGGCAAGGCGTACTAAGTATAAAATCCAATCCCTACCAGCAATGAGCTAATAGGAGAGGAAGGACTGTAGGCTCACACACACTTGACTTAAAAACACACATTCATTCATTCATTCATTCATTCATTAACATCTGCATGTAAACAAATTCATTAAGCTAATGGTACTTGAGCCCATGTGCCAAATAAGGGGTGTGGAGGCTAGAAACAGGTCAGAAAAGGACCAGACAGAGCCGGGCTCCAGCCTGCTTTGTTCTATGCTTTCTACTGCTTCCCTGACCCAAATCAAATCCATACCGTGATCCAACCTTTTCTGTCTCTGCCCCTTTATGCCCCACCCCTCCCTTTGGCATGCGCTCACCCCCTCCAGAGCAGGGTACAATCCTGAGTCTCCCTGATACAGGTAAGCTCCTCCCTCACAAAATCCTGTCCGGACTACTCTTCAGACACTTGTCCCATTGTGCCTTGTGTTACATTTATGTATCTCTTCTTTCTACCTCAAGCTTTGAAAATTCCTGGGAGCAGGGTCTTCAGATGTCTTAACTTTTGTATTCCCAGCTGTGGCAGAGAGAGTAGCAGGTTCTCAATTATTTGCAGAACTGAATTTGTGGGGAAGGTGACATTCAGATTTGGAACGTCAGGGCTGCATCATCAAGAGCAACTCTCTCATTCTGCTCTTGATGAAACTGAGGCGCAGAGACACGGAGTGATGAGGCGGAGGAAGGACCAGCACGCCAGGCTCTGGGTTGGAGTGACCGGGGTGGGGCTGGTGGCTAAGTTACGACATCCTCCTGTTTACGGATCATCTGGTCGGCTTATTCCCCTAGAAGGGCGCAGACCCGATGCAGCAGCTCTCACGTTTCTTTTTCCTAACCCAAACTCTAAGCGGAAACTCAGAAAACATCTGTAGAGTGTCTGTAAATGTGCAAAATACCTGGAGCAGCGTGGCTGGAGCCACAGCACAAACAGGTCCTCCCTCCTCTAAGAGTCAACAGCTCCAGGGCTGGGCTTCTCCTGAACCACTGGTCCCTGCCACCGGGCATTACCGTTGTCTGTGGATGCACCTTTGCCCTGCAACTTCACTGTGAGCAAGAACCCTGTACTATCCCTCTCTGCATTCCCCATGCCCAGCCACTGCCTGGCACTTACAGGCTCCGTAAATGCAGTTGAAAACACAGATTCATAAAAAGACATCTACCGGCTCTGAACATTCGCTAAACGCAAGGCACTTAGTAGCGACTGTCTCACTAGATCCTTGTTTTCACCCTCGTGTGTACTATCCGCGTCCCAGGGTTACAGAGGAAACTACAGCCCACAGTGCTGAAACCTGCCCAAGTTTCACAGACACAGGAAGTAAAGAGAGTCTTGGAACCCAAGTTCGCAGACTCCCGAACCCGTGCTCTTCCCCAATGCAAATGTAAGAGTGGAACTAAGTGGCCCGTAGGAGCCAGGGAGGTGGCCAGAAGTGGCCCCGGTGCTTTCTCAGCGCCCTTACCCCTCGCCTAAACCAAGCGCTGGAGGCAGAAGCCCCAGGTGTGTGTAGTTGGGGGATCGGGGGTGGGTCTAGGAAGGTACTGGTAGCCTGGCAACGAGGAGGCGGGGGTCGCTTACCTATTATGGGCACCTCAGCGATGAAGACCCTCCGAATAGAATTGGCTACCCTGAGGGATGAAAACCAAGTGGCGTGAGGGCACCCCAGCCTCGACATTCCGATCCCGCGCCCCTCGGTTCCCTAAGTGAAAGCTACAGCACAGGAGGCCAGGAGACACGACCCTATGCCCCCATCCCCGGCCCTCCAGAGCCACCAGCCGCCACCCTCAGCAGCCTTACGCTAGGTCCGTATTCTCGATGATGAACTTGACGTTCTCGTCGGTAAGCTCCGTGATCCGGACAGTGGGCTGGTTGGCGTACGGCATGGCGTTCCGCCGCCCGGCCGCCCCGGCTGCTCGCCGCCGCAGAGAAGTTGCCGGAAGCCGGTCAGAGCGGCCCCCGCCGATTCCTTGAAGACGCGCCCACAGCGCCACCTGCTGCTCGGAAGCCGGGACTGCTCCAAGCCATTTTCTACCCGTCGCTTGATTTAAATGCACCAGGTTCAACGACCTTGGATGACGATTTGTGCATACACACTTGACTCAACAATAACATTTCCAGGAATTCATACTGCAGAAATACTCAACCTTGTAATGTGCCTCAGTCAGGGCACATACAGGAAGGAACCAACAAATGCAATAAATGAAACAAAAAATCTACGTTTCTCTCACCACCCCTCTAGAAATCAATAAATACTTCAAAAAATAAAAATAAAAGTGTCCATCGAGACCTGGGTGCAATATATAAACATAGGAATATTACGAAGTCCTTAAAAAGAATGAAGTTTGTACACTTATGGAAAAACAAAAATATATTTAGTATACATGAAGGGTAGGTATGTGCCTTTACCTTTCCACTCTCAAGCCTGGATCATGTATTTTTCAACTTACAGCAACTGTGTAGCGGGGGGGGGGGGGGGGGTGGCTTTTCATCTCTGCACCCCCAGTGCTGCCAGTGTGCACCTCACTAGGTGAATGTGCAATAAAGCATGACCGAAATCCCCTACACAGCCTGGAGAAGTTTGAATGGGCCTCACAAAGATCCTCGACAAAGGCGGCAGCTGCTCCCGTGGAGAAAAGAGGCCCTAAATTGGAACTTGGGGGTGGGGGCTACATTTAGTGGGCCAAAGAAGAGTAATCAGAGATGAAGAGGAGCTTGCCTGAGCAAGGAGTGACACCTCTTCTGAGACAGGAAGGCCATTCTCTGCTGAGTAAGAATGGGATACTATGAAGGATAAAGGAGAGAATGAAATGAAATTTGCAATAGCTACAGCAGGGAGCCTGACAGGGTGTAGAGATGAATTAAAAAGGTGCCGAAAGGGACCAGCAGAAGGCCCAACAGAAGAGATTGGAAATTCCTATTAGCTTGTGACTTCCCCCAACAACATTCAGTCGGCTTAGAGAGGAGACAGCAAAGACAGATGCAATGGACTGAGTTATGTCGACCCCAAACGCTCTCCTACTGTGTTGCTATTTAGAGATGGGGGGTCTTTGGGAGGTCGCAAGGGTAGGATCCTCATTTTAGTGCCCTTATAAGAACAGGAAAAGACATCAGCACTTTCTTTACCCTGTGAGAATACAGACAGAAGGCAGCCATCTACTAGTCAGGAAGAAATCCTTTCTCCGGAACCAATTTGGCTGGCACCTTGATCCTGTACTTTCCAGCCTCCAGAACTGTGAAAAAACAGATGTCTGCTGTTTAAGCCACCCAGTCTTTGGTATTTGGTTATAGCAACCTAAACAGATCAATACAAGAGTTAACCAGGTTTGCAAAGGGAACCCAGCCAACATAGAGGCCAAGGAAGTTACTAAAGCTAAAGAATCTTATCATTGAAATGGTTTGCAATAGACAAGAGCAGCCAAATGAGCAAATGGTGAAGGGGAAGCCTGGGATCAGAGATGCAGACTATCACATCACTCCGTAGTGTTAGGGAGCACCAGAACCAGAACTCGGGTCTCTTGGCCGCTGCCCTTGAGCCTTTTCCACAGCACTGCTGCCTCTCTTTGGGGTCTTGCATACATGCCACGGTCTGTATGAAAACTACACAATAGGAAACTGATTCAAACATATTTATTATTTTTACAGACTCTGAGTTCACTAATAATCCTGTCACGCACGCTGGTGTAGTGCATCGCCAGGTCTGGGGCCACCTCTGGCCAGGCTGTGAACCACGGTCCAGCAGGCACCAGTCTCAGGCAGGCAGCTCCCGGAGGGGGTCCCCAGTGCAGCATCTCAGGCTGGAGGAAAGGGCTGCAAGGAACGCCTCTGGGTGCACGTGTCTGGGCTGGGCTGTGGATCAGCTGCTGCTTTGGCTGGCTCTGGCTCTAACTTGGGAGTCCCAGAGAGCATTTCCAGGAAGGCTGAGATATGACTGAAGTGACCGTGAGACCATGGCAGGGATGCGCTGGGCTTCTGTGGCTTGAATGCTTGCACGGGAGCTTTATTTGTCAATCGCACAGCTGCAATGCAGAGAGGCGTCAGGAGGCCGGACCTGGTAACAGAACTGAAAAAGTGGCCCAATCCCAGCCTATGGCTGTATCAAGTGCCCTGTGGTTTCCAGGTGGCTGTGCTGGTGACTCAGGAGTCTTTCAGTGTTTTCTCATTAACACCCTGTCCCGTGGATGGCACATCATACTTTTCGATGCCCTTTAAATATATTCGCAGGTATTCTTCTGGACAGTCTAGCTTATACTCGTCCTTCTTCACCGGCGCTGGTTTAGACCTGTCAGGTTCTTGAGCTGATAAAGGGATGGAAACAGACAGTGCTGAGGCCTTGCCCTGCCCCAGGCCTCCAATGGGAAAGACGAGGATCTTCAGGGCAGCACCTGTGACTATGGTACAGAGGTCTGACATACCAGCGTCCTGGGAGTCAGCCAGTAAAAACTAAAGAGGTAGGGTATTTGGAACCAAGAGACTCAGACCGAATCCCAGTCAGTCTCATTACTAGCCTTCCAGCTTAAGGCTGCAGAACTGCTCGGGGTCAGTGCCACAGAAAGAAGCGCGGGGCCGGAGTGGGATGTGGGAGGGCAGGCATGATCTGGGCAGTACTCACCGTCACTGCCGCACCCATGAGTCCCTGCACCAGTGCCTCTCCAGTGGACTTCACCTAGAAGGTGTCAGAGTCAGGTTCTCTTAAGCCCCCATCGCAGGCTCAAAGGTGAGACAGACAAAGCAGCAGGCCTATTAGTCCCAACGGGCAGAGTCAGGAGGGCCCTGTGTACTGGAGGAAGAGCCTATGGACCGCAAGACCACAAATGGGCCATGTGCGGCTCCTCAGGAATGGCTGGTATGAGGAAGAACCAGCCAGGCTCCCTGGAAAGGCCCTCAGGACTGTCGGCTGGGACCCAGGGAGCAAGGAAACAGCGCCCAGCTGCGACCTGAGGAGGACGGTGTGCCTAGAGAGGAGGCTTCCCAAATGGCTGACCCCCCGCTACCTGCTTGGCAGTGTGGCCCAGGTTCATTGCATCATTAATCCGGTTTTCCAAGAAACGCCAAGTGTCCTCGAAGTCTGGGGAGGAGTCCTGCATCATCACCAGCTCTGTTGTGTTGTAGATGCCAGCCAGCACAGCTCGGCGGGTGTACCAGTTGAGCTGTCAAGAAACCCACCCAGCAGCTGGGTCGCCACTACTGCTGTGGGCTGTGGGCAACTTCTGCCCAAAGCCACAGGCACTCGTGGGCTTCCCCAGTTTCTCCTGCCCATCACAGGTACCTGTGGCCCTCTGGACAACACTGTTCTCAAACATGGCTGTGCGTCAGAATTACATGGGAGACTGTAAGTGCAAACTCTGGGCCCAACCTCTTAGTTTCGAGTCAGTGGGTCTCCACTAAGTGCCAGGAGTTTTGATGTTTCTTAAGCATCCCAGGTGATTCTGCTACATCTGGTCCTTTTTGGAACTACTGGTGAAAAGACTAAGTCATAGGACATCTAAGTCCCAGGGAGGCTCTGTGGTCAGCCAGGCAGAACCAAACCTTGGTGTGTCTGCCAGCAAAGTGAAGGCTAAGACAGAACCAAGGACGGGTTGGGCTACCAGGAAAGCTGAGTGGTCAAGTCCGTTAGCAGCTCCGACTATCCTGGCAAACTACTCTTCAGAGCCCTGGCTCAGCTGCTTGGTGTTTTATTCCTTTAATTTCTCTGCTTTCTAATTTCACTTTCCTGCCATCTCTGTCGGTGGTACATTCCCACAGGAGGGAAGCTTATTAAAGCACTTTGTTAGAACTGTGGTGGGATTATCTCTTCGCCTCGCCAGCCTGGATATTAATTTCCTTTAATGAAGGTATATTTTTAAAAAATTTTCCTAACAGAAATATAATAGCATCAACAAGTCACATTCTTTCCTGGTGCCTGTTTAAAGATTGATCCCTTAGCAAAGCAGGCCAAGATGGGCTGGGGGAGGGAGCTGTTTAAATCAATCTCATGAAAGTCACACACTGAGAAATGCTGCTGCAGAATCTAAATTTTAGGAGCCTGGAAGGGGAAAGAAGTATCAAATGGCAGCCCAATCATAAGGCCCTCTGACATCTTGTGTCCCCACTACAGGTCGGAAGAATGACCCCCAGTTTGTGGCCGGAGCGCTGGTCCCTGAACGAAGACGACCTAGATCCCACCGTGGCTCGTTGGAAGCCCTTCCTCACGCCTCACCCTCTCCTTACCAAGATGGGAATGACGCTGCAGGCCCCCTGAAGGGATGTGCGATCAAAGAAATTTCACAAACTTCTTGGAGAAATGCTTAACCCAAGTTTTCCCCGGTATCCTGTGGGTCTGCAGAAAGCACTCACGTCAGTGGACTGGTCCCCAGCGTAATGCCATATGTCGTCAACCATGCTGGTGAGCAAGTTCAGGCTGGATGGGATGTTGTGAGGGAGCATGAGGATGCTGAGGGCCTGCAGGGAGAATGGCAGGGAGAAGGGCAGAGGACAGAGCTGACAACAGCGCACAGGTGGCTGGTGCTTCCGCTCCCCACTGAGATACATACGAAGGCCTGCCCAGCCCTCATTCTGAGACCTGCCGTCCCCACCCCTTCCTGGCGGGTAACCACCCTGACCACAGCGGATGGGAGCCAGGGCCGACCCCAGCCTCCTGGCCCCATCAGATTCTCAATGCCCACCCACCACGTGGACTTGGGAATGCAGGCAGCAGAGGGTCTGGCCTGGTCGCTCCAAGAAGTGAGAGCAAAGATGGGGAGGGCACATGGAGGAAGCAGCAGAGATGAGAGGAGTCTGGGGGTGGTTTCCAGGTCCGAATACTAGGCCATTCCCAGGCCCAGTAACATTCCTGCCCTTGATGTCCCACTGCAGCCTTAATAAACTCCTCCCTACCCCTTTTTTTCTGCTTAACTCAAGTTGATTTGTTACCTAAAACCAAAGTCCTTCAACTAATACAAGCAATGGCACAACCCAGAGACTCTTCCATTAGGTAGACATCAACTCCTGAGAGTACAAGGTTTTGCCACCTTACCACCTGCACACCCCTTGGCTGTGGCCTGCGGATCTGGACAGAGTGGTCCTGGATCGGCTGGAAAGTTCCCTCTTGGTGGAGGAGCTCAGAAGGAACGTGCTGACTCAGGAGGCCCTCATTTTTATCACCTGAACTGTGCGGTGGAGTGAGCCAAGGCCACAGGTTGGAAAATCAAGTGTAGCAACCACAGGCAGGGGACAGATGTGACTCTGGGCTGTTCTCCCTTCATGCCCAGCTTGGGGAGTTCAATGTCTGTCAACTGATCGACTGGGATTATGTGTTCAATAGTGTCCCAGCTGGGTGGAGGACACCGGATGATCTCTGCGTTCCTCTCATTTCTGATGTGCTTTGACTTTACTTTCTTAACTGAGAGAATGGCTCACGCTGTGGCATGCTTTGAAGCAGGGAAAAGGAAGCTTCAGAAAACGGGTGAAAAGCCGTTGGAGCAGATACTCTGATCCCCAAGCATCACACTGACAATTTGAAAAGCTCAGTCCTCTGAGGTCTGGAACACGACAGGCCTGTTAATGGCGGCAGCCAGTGCAATCTGCTGACTTCTCTAATCTCCCTCATGGATCCTTCTCATTGAAGACCAGCTGGCACACTCGCCTCCAAGACCACACCCAGGATGTGACCCAGTACCAGGCCACTCACTTCTCCAGGGACTGAGACTCAGATGGCTCCGAGTTACTCTTTGGCACCCCCACACCGGAAACCTAGCTCTGCCAAGTGCACAGAGCACCCCTGGGTCTCTGGGGACCTGTGAGCTAACTTCTGACAGTGCACATCCTCCGAGTCAAAGGCGCTGACAGTTATCAATCTGAATACATTGTTGCCCTGGGCCTGGATGTGGACTCTGTACCCGGGGCCAGTGCTCAATGTACGGGATCAGCATTCTCAGTCTGGTTTCCACTGCGTCCCTCAGGAACTCATCTGTCTTCCTCTTCCTGGAAGAGGGAAAAGAAAACAGTGCATCTCCGGGTCAAAGGCACAGGCTCAGTGCTAGCCTAGGGAGGAGGGTCCGGCGAGCCCCGGACGATGGCCTGACCACAGCGGCCAGAGCCGGGCGGCTGCCTCTGAGGCCCAGCGAAGCAGCAGGGCTACTCCGTGCCTCCCTCCTTCGGCTCTGCTTGGGTTGGCCTCCTGTGGGCAGCCGGTAGGGCCAGGTGGGACCCAAGTCTCTTGACCCTGAGCTGCCACCCAGAGCGGCAATGCCACAGAACTTACTCAGCCTGGTTAAGCTGCACCTGCTTCTGCTCCTCCTCCAGCACCTGGATGAGCCGAGCGTTGCACTGGGTCACAAAGTGCAGGATCAGCTCGCTGCCATCGCTCCCGAACATGCTGGCGGCCGCACTGGAGAGGCCCAGGGACTACAGAAAGAGGAAGGGAAACAGGGCAGTGGTGGCAAGTGGGGCGGGCATGTGCGACCTGTTCGTCACTAGTGCCTCCTCCTCTAGTAACAGCGGCTCGCTTTTCCGGGGGCCACCACACCCCCGTTCTCCACCTGAGACTCGGGTGACGCTAACCACACCCCATCCGCCCCCTGCTGTGCTGCACAGCGTGGGGCACAGACTGGGATGATGGGAGTTTACGGTGACCGCCTAGAAGATGTGCCAGTGACCAAACCCAGGCCCCGAGAGACCGCCTTGGAACTTTTACTCGTCCTTACGGGAAAGAGGACTCTTTTTCCACTGCGGCTGCTGAGCCATTTTTCGTCCCACACGGGATGCTTCTGTAGGGAATGGAGCTCAGAGAGGAAAGTGAGGCAGATATGCTGGCGAGACAGTTCCCAGTGGCACAATCTAAGAGCGTTGTGCCCAAACTCGTCACTAAATGAGCAACACACTCTCCTCGCTTGAGACAGCTAGCGTTGAGCTGACACCTGTAATCTGGAGCCCTAATTAAAAAAAGGGGTCAGGAAGACCACTCATAACGCTCTCCCTTACAAATTCACTTAACTGAAATCTCTTGGAAATTAGGTTTCTTAGTTGTTTAAAAACAACCACAACAAAGCTTTTCTTTTTTAAAAGATTTTATTTATTTATTTTTAGAGAAAGAGGAAGAGAAAAAAAAAGGGAGAGAAACATCGATGTGTGAGAGAAACATCGATTGGTTGCCTCTGGCACATGCCTCAACCAGGGACTGGCCTGCAATCCAGGCATGTGCTCTGACCAGGAATTGAACGGGTGGCCTTCTGCTTCGAGGGACGACGCTCAACCAACTGAGCCACACTGGTCATGGCAAAGCTTTTCTTAATGAGTTATCAAGAAATTAACAAAGCCACAAAAATCCTTTGCTATTCCCGATATACAGCGGTCATTGAGCATATATACTGGAGGCAGAATCCCGACAGCAGCAGAGACAGAGAAAATATTAACTCGAAATTCCCACTGGTGGGAATGGGGACAGTGCCTTTCTTTTGGTGCAAGGACACAGCCCTTTCGGAGAGCAATGTGGCAATATTCACACCAACATCAGAGCTGAGCAGCATCCACGTAACGGTCATTGTGTCCCTGTTGTGTGCACCCAGCAGGTGGGTATTATCACTGCCCACACTGGACAGAGGAGGAAACTCAGGCTTAAAGCTCTTAAACGACCAGGCTGTACTGCCCCCAACATGTGTGTAACAAGAACCTACAACAGACACAAATGCTCTGAGCCAGTTATCGCGTTAAGTATCAGCTCCAAAGCTGCCCTTCCATCCTCAGCCTTGGGATGCAGGGACTGCCGCTCTGCAAACCACATTTCTGGCTCCCTGTTAGGTTCCCTAGAGGGTGGATAGAGGGCGACTGTGAGGCTGCAGGAGGAAGAAGAGACTCGCTGCTACTTGTCTCCTAGTGGTTTGTGCGATGCACCCAGTTTGCAGTTTTCCCAACACTCAAAGAACTAGTTCATCCAGCCACCCCCCCTCCTCTGCCCTTCTGACAGCTCCACCACTCCCCCGCCCCCAGGGTCGGGTGCCAACCAAGGGACCCTTAGTCCGAAGGTAAGGGCTGCAGCTGAATGCCTGCTCCTCCAAGATCTGAGGCCCCCCTCCACGGGGCGCTCCTGCCAGCTTCTAGTTATAACAATTCCGACTCCTCGCCTTGTCCCCTAGCCCCGGGGATGGGAGCTACTTCCTGCAGCTGCTGCCTCCTTAGTATCTTAGTATTCTTTCTATCCTTTCAGTTATCTGCTAACCCACTTTACACCGAGGTAGCAATTCTTTATTATTATTATTGTTAAATTATTAAAGTCTCTGTATTCATATAACTGGTGTAGTTTCTGTCACCTGACGTATACACTCCATGAAAAACTCTACTTCTCCAAATTTCTCCTAAAGAAACCAACCAGAAATGTACTTAAATATGTTGTTCGAGTAGATTTACAATACTAAAAAATTGGAAACTCCAATGTTTACCAATTAAGTTCAAATGAATAAATTATTATGCAGCCATTATCTGTGGAAATATGCAGAGTGAAAAAAGCTGGTTAACCACAGAATATTCAACATAATCAGATTTTTCCTAACAATCCTGTTTTATTTCTGTCCTCAACTGGTTTCACAAGTTTTTGTAATGATCCTTTCAAACTTTCTCTGCTTCCTCCCAACCTGTGTCCCTTCCACACTTTCCTGACTTCACATTCATGGGACAAGCACCCCCACTTCACAGGGAACACAGAAGCCACCCCCCCGAACGTCCTCAATGTTCTCCTAGAAACCAACCCTGCAGCCTTCTCCAGACTCCTCTCTAATGTGCCTAGGGCCAGTCTTTCCACCCATTTTCCGGATCTCCTAATTTTTTCCATCAAGGAGCCTCATACCCTTGATTTTTGCCACTCCCTCTCGTTTCTTCCCCTCACCCTTGTTGCTGGCCTCTCCCGTTAGTGTTTGGACACGCCCAAATTTCCATCCATTTCCCTGCTTGGTGTATGCTCGCTCTCTCCTACCCTTTGCAGACAAGTGCCTCTCCACTTCCTTACCTTCTCCTCACGCCTCAGCCCCCTCCAACCATTTCCGCTCAGGTACTCCCCCAGGCGGCCGCTGCTACTGTAACCAGCGTCCAGTTACTTCGGCCACGCTCTTCTGCTTTGCCTCCAACGTCAGGCTACTCTACCTAAGCTGACTTTGCCAGCGCATCCTGTTCTACCCCACCCTTAAATGTCAGAGTTTCTTGAGGGCCTACATTTCCCTCCTTTCACATTATGCTCCAGGTACACCCATATTACCCTAGGCAGCTCGTTCACCTCTGTGGTTTAACTGCCACATATATACGCACCTGTACGGACAATGCCCGAACGCACACTCTAGTCCAGACAGCTCCTTTCTGCACGCTCGAGGCCTCCCACTGGTTGGCCCAAAGACCCCTCATATCCAAGAGAGCGAGGCTGTACCCGGGCTGCCCCAGACCTGGTCCTCTTCCAGGGGCCCTCATCCCAGAAAACGGCACCAGTGTGCACCCACACAGGCAAACTGGCAACTCTGGAGCCCCCTTGTCACTCCCTGCGTCATTCTATCACCGAATCGACCCACTTGTCTCCACACTCACTGCCACGGCTCTAGGCCAGAGAGCGTTCATTTCTCCTGGGTCACTGGCAGCCGCCCCCAGTGACTCTCTGCCTCCAATCCAGCTTTCATCCAGCAGCCAAAATGAAGGTTTTCAAATGTCAAGTTTCATCCTAGACCTTCGATTATTCTTAGTACAAGGGCCAAACTCCTTAACATGACCTTCAGGACCTCCACTGGGCTCTCCCCAGTCTCACTTGGCTCCTCTCTCTCTCTTCCCTTTCTGCACGATGGTTTCTTTGGTTCCTCTGCGCCAGGCTTCTTTCCACGCTGCACGTGCCGTATCTCTGTCCAGACCTGGCCACCGCCCCACCCCCACCAAACCAGGTGAAGCCTCACTCATCCCTCAGATCTCAGTTCAAAGGCCTTCCCTGACCACCTTCTCACCGCCCCACCTTAGAGCAAGTCCCGCCACTGCATGTCTCAACAGCACCTTTTCCTGACAGCCCTCCTCCCACTTTACAAGCGTGCGTTTGTATATATTTGTTTAATGCCGTTAGACTGAGAGCTCAGCAAGGGCAGAACTGTGTCTGCCTTGACCATTAGGACGTCCCCAGGACCTGGCACAGTGCCTAGTGCACACTAACTGCTCAATAAACATTTAAATAATCAATGATGAATAAATGAAAAGTTTTTTTTTAAAAATTGAAAGAACAGGCATTAAAACGTTTATAGTGGGATTACAGATGGTTTTTTCATTCTTTTCTACATCTGTATTGTTCAAAGTCTTCACAATGAGCATAGAGTGGAGTCATAGCATATGCACACTTAATTTACATGACGTCTGTTACCAAATGTGCTCTTGGGAGAGGGTGAGCGACAAGAGGAATAACCATTAAATTTGAGTCAAGCAGCAAAGCTGCCCTTCGTCTGAGCTCACGAGCAGGGGCCCTGCAGCAGGCCTGCGACGGGAGGCACGGCTCTCTGATTCCATCAGTCTCCGTCCTCACGGGCCTCTCGCAGGGTGGTCTCTGGCTACGCTTTACGAGTTGTACTACATCGCCCAAACACAAGCCCACTGCTTAACCTAAAGCGGCCGTCTACTCCAATGCGGGAGGAAATGCTGACTATGAGACTTACTGAGAAACACAGAGTGTGGTGGTCTGCCAAGTGGTGCAATCTTGGGAGTTTTTAAAAACTGTATTTCATCAAATCTAAGATGCATATATTTATTATTTTAAACCATCAGTGTGAATTGTACAATGATGTGGCACAGTTTAACGGCAGCATTTTTCTTTTTCAGTGATGCAAAAGCAACGCTGCTTCTTACCAGCAGAGGCATCTCAGAGTCAATGAAATATGGTAGTTTTTATCATAGTCAATTCTTGCCTAAATGGCTGCCTTTAGAACCTAACTCCCAAGAACCAACTCCATCTTACGTTCTTTTTATATTAAAAAATAGTTGAAAAATGAACCTATTTCCACCTTATTGAGAAAGAAACCCCCCCAAACAGAAAATCCTACAGCGGTGAGGGGTTCTAAGCTGGGCTGGAAGATGCACGAGGCCCTCTGAGTTGGCTAGTGTAACTCCCTCCTGGCTGATCTTGGTCAGGCCGCCCGCCCTCAGCTGTACACACCTGGGCTCCTTCCGCAATCGCCTCTGCCGTCCAGCCATGGGCAGGCACGAACTCCAGGGCTGCCGTCAGGATGCGGTGCTGCAGCTGCTCCTCACTCTCATGGTCCTCCTCCTCCTCGCCACCCTGGTCTGTATACCTGAGACCCAAATCCGAGAGACACATGGGGACACCTCATCTCACTGCCTGCTGCCTCGCATGCCAAGTGAGCCTGATCTCTTTGCATGCAGGAACCAGACCTCTGTGACTCCTCTACGTGCACGTGGGGAGGACATTTACTTTTGTGTCAGTACTGGTGTTGCAATGCCAACGCACCAGAAGTTACAGCACCCGTCCCCTCCCATGCGGTCACTGAGAGAAGGGCAGCAGTGAGTGAGGAGGCCACGCAGCAGGAAGACACACATTCCTGCAGCACCCCGGATTTCCCTGTTCGTAGCCCTCAGCACAGTTCTTTAGTTGGTATTTGCAGCAGACAGAGCTCCATGAGGTCCAAAACAAGTTATACTATTCACAGGGCCTAGCACAGAGAAGATCCTCAAAAAATATTTGCTGAACTGAAATGAAGTGTACATTAACCAGGAAACCAGAACAACAACTGGGGATACTCTAATTTCAGTGCTAGAAGAACTTCTCAGTGGTAGGATTAAGAAGAAAAAATATCTAATGGAAATGTAAATTATTATTCTGTTTCTGGAGGGCAATGCAGCCCTACATCTGTGACAAAATGTTACATGTGCACATCAATATCCTTTGCCTCAGTGCTGCCATTGCTGAGAGACTCACACACTTTATCACGTTATTTTCTACACCAGTGAAGGAAATCTAAATATTCATCAATAAAAGACAGGTTAAATAAATTTTGGCACTGTCATTTGCTGGAACACTATGCAATTATTAAAATGATATAGACTGTGAAGAGAGATTAAAAATGTATTGTTGAGTGAAAAAACAAGTTCTGGCACAGCATGTATAGTGTAATTTATCATTATTATATATGTAGGTTTATATATGAAATATGCTTAGAGAAACATCTATAAGGATATTAACAAAAATGTTAGCAGAGTTATTTCTGAATTTGTGATTTCTGGTAATTTCTGCCTTATTTCTGTGAACTTTTTATTGTTTAGATGTTTTACAGTGTACAGGCACCATTTTCATTAAAAAATAATAGCTTCCTTTCAAAGATAGTCTTGAAAATCTATCAAGAGTTTTGAGACAGAGAGAAGAGAGGAAGGACAGACGCAGCCAAGCCTGCAGAGTGGCCTGCAGTGGGTGGACTGGGTTCCGGTGCCTACCTGGGGGGCGGACGAGAAGACTCTGGATTGGGATCTTCTGCCGCCTGCGTCTCAGAATGCTGCTGGGAGAAAGAGGGGGGAGGCTGCTGCTTCTGCCCATCTGAAGACCTCAGCTGCAGAGCCGACGCATGGAAGGCACGTGGCACCAGGGCTGGCCGGCAGCGGGACACTGAAACAGAAACCGGACTAGTCAGGGACACTCACCGAGAAGACCCTTTGAGACCTAGAGTGGCACAGAAGATGGGGACAAGGAAAATCAGGGCAGAGATCCCTCCAGAACCACTTATCCAAGTGTTCGGTCCCAGGCAAAAATCACAGGTACATTAGCAGCCCTTACACATGATGTGTAGACAAAAATACAAGTCAGAAACAGAAGACCTGGCTTGTAGGCCTGTTTCTTTGTTAGCTGTGTGGTAATGGGCAAACCATTTCATCCCAGGGAACCTAATTTTAAAGTATGCAAATTAAGGGTCATAATCCCTACTTCCTCGGATGCAAGTGAGGCTAACAAAAAATTAAAGTGACTTGAAAATATTTCATATTTATATATCATAGCAAGAGCACCAGACTAGAAGTTAGAGTACGGCCTCTCTCATGTTTATATGGTGCCTCAATATGCTTTCTCGTTTGTACTATTGCAACACCCCTCATTCACTTTAGGTAAGGGCTTCTGGAACACACAGAAGCACAGGCTCATACTACTTTTTTCCTTCCCAACATTTTATTATTAACAATTGCAGACCCTCAAGTGGAAAGAATTGTGGCATGAACACCTGTGTGTCCATCACCCAGATTCTCTATACCTAGCCATCACTCTTCATCAATGCATCTTGTTTTTTGATACATTTATTGCAGACCTCATTATTCTTCATCCCTGAATATTTCAGCATGCATGGCGTTAACTAGAGTTTGTATTCATTTACTGTTCCTTTACTGGGGTTGCATTTATATACAATGAAATGCAAGTCTGAAACATGCCCATTCTGGATTTTGACAAATGTACACACTTACGTAACCTGAACCCCTATCTAGAGATCATCAGCCCCGCACGATGCCTCAGGTTCATCCCTTCCCAGGCATTCCCTGCCTACACTGTTCAGAATTTTTTACTCTAGGTTTTCTTGCCCTAGAATTTCATCTAAGTACAACGCCACAGGATGTTATTTTTGTGTAAGACTTATTTTAATATATTTTTTTCTAGCTCGGGTCGTATGTTTTGTGTAAATCAACAGCTTGTTAGTTTTCATCGCTGAGTAGCATTCCATTAGGAAATATTACTCTGTTGACGGACACTGGGGCTGTTTCAGTGTTGGCTACTATCGGTAACGCTCCTATGAACACATTCGTACAAACCTTTTTGGGGACACATGCTTTCAGTCCCCCTGCGTAAATACTTAGGACTGGACTTGCTGGGTCACAGTCATTACTTTGACTTAACATATTTAGAGTTTTATATAAAAACAACAAAAGGGCACTCGGTAAAAAAAAAAAGCTATAGACTAACACAGGGGACAATGATTTTAAAAGAAACACAGCACAATAGGTGTACAAATATCAGTATTTTAAAGTATGTACAGAAAAAATGGAGCGAATATTCATAAAACTTTGAAAAGGACAGGAGGTTCCAAAGAAACCCTGAGGAAGCACTGTGACTGATGAGATTTTAGGTGACATACAGAAGAATGCTTATTATTTATCAGCTACCTCTTTTTGTTCATGTGTCAATGCATATATCCTACGTATGGAAAGTGACGCTGGTTTTCGCTGTATGGTAGTGATAGAAACTTTCCTCTTGTAAGGACGTGTCCATATGTTTAAAATAACTCAGATGTATTAACAAAAATACTGACTATACAGTCGCACGGGGGTACAAAGCCAGCACGGAATACCGACGGCCGGGAGAGGACTGGCAGGACACCGTGGAACCGGCGCTCGCTGTGGCCGTCACGCACCTGCCCCTCGAGGGCCCCCGGCCCGGGGACGGGGACGGGGCGAGGGCGTTGGGAGGTGGGTCCGAGCTCCGCAACTCCAAGCCGGTGACCTTGGGCACGCACAGCCCGCTCTGGGGCTCCGTCAATCCCATTAAATGGGACTGACAGGCCCTGCTCCGCTGCTCCGGCCCCCGCAGGTGCGGGCGCGGGACAGAAGCCAGCCGGGCCGCCCGTTCGACCCCGGCGCGCCAGCGGGTCCGCGCCCGTGCCCTTCACCTCACCTTGCGCGCGGCCCGCCACCGCGGCCTCTTCCTCCCCACGCCCAGCGTGGATGGGCCTCGCGCCCCTTCCCCGCACCTCCCTGCTCCCCGGCTCGGCCGCCCCCTCACCGGGCAGGCACCGCAGCTGCAGGAGCCTCCAGCCCGCCCGGCCGAACACGCCAGACGCCGCTGCCGCCGCTGCCATCTTGGAAGCGGGCAAGCCGCCGACGGCGACGCGACGGGCAGCGCCGGGCAGCGCCGGGAGCGCGGCGCGCCCACTTCCGGCCAGCTCGCGCCGCGTGATCTTTCTCCTCTCGCGAGAGGTGCGCGGCGCGCAGCCGGCTGCTGCGGAGAAACCGAGAGCGAGTCCCGAGAACCAGGTAAGCGCTGTTCGTTGACAGAAGAGCGGAATATCCCCCAACGGTCCACTCTGGTTCCCAGATCGTCCCCTTTGCTAGTCCCAATCCTGTCCCTTGGTGGGAACCTAGCCTTAGCCACCTCCCTGAGGACCACGGCGGGCTTTTGCCCAGAGAATTGGTGTGAAGGGCCGGACTGGTTTTGTCTGCCCCGGGCTCCTGGCGCGGTGGCCCCTTGTCCTTCCTGGGTGGCCTCCCCTCCTGCGCTGCCGGCCCCGGGGACGGCGCGGTCAGGAGGAAGAGCCCTGAGCTGGGGTCGGGGAGACCTGGGTCTGAGATCCACTTATGTAGCCAGCTGCTGTGACCTTGGGCCTCGGTCCCCCTCCTCAAACGGAAGACGCTTGGGTCGTTGGGGCAACCTCCAGGTTGCACTTTTGAGCTTAAGTCTCGGTCGTTGGGGGAACCACCAGGTTGTACTTTTGAGCCAGTGACTTTCCTGAACCAACAAGGTTTTGGGCTGCTGTAATCAAATACTTCCAGAACTTGCCAGATAGGAAGAACCACATAGGATGCTTGTTACTAAGTCGGATACCCTGGTGTTTCTCCTGGAGAGTTGATTCAGTACGTTGGGGTGTAGTCCAGGCATCTTATTTTAACAAATGCCCCCAACTGATTTGTCGGATTTGCGAATTTAGAACAGGCACCAGTCGTTTAGACGTTGTGTGCCAAGCCCGGGTGACTCTGGAAGGTCATGGACTTGTCTCAAACAAATGTAAACGCAGAGCGCCTCATTGCCATGTCTATCATCAGCGACGGTTTTGTAGAAGTAGGAAAATGTAAATAGCTGGGGGATTAGGGATTGAGGATGACGGAAGCTAAGCGTGTCGTTCTGTAAATTTTGGTTTTGCAGTTAGACCCTTGTCTTTGTTTTGCATACGCCTTACCAAACTCCAGTCTTTTCGAGTCATTTTGCTCTCCCCTGCGTGAGTGCTGGGGAAGTCCTCCTAGGCCAAAACTCCCCAAATGTTAGTTTCATATCAATATCTATGGATATTGGCAAAGCACTGTTGATCTCTCCTAAGAGGTTTTTGGTTTTTGGGTTTTTTTCTGAGTTCTGATCACTTACCTTCACATGAGTCCTTACTGTGGAAATTCTAGCACTTGGCTCTCTGTTCTGAGTCCCTTAACTCTTGACACACATCTGATTGGTGACACTCTCCCATTTCTTTTCCTTTGAGTTTCCTGTTTCCTTGATTATCACCTTTTCCCCTGTGTGTGCATAATTCCTTTTAATTCAAAGTGTCAGTCAATTCCTTTTAATTAAAATTGTCTTTTCTCATAACTGTCAGGATTCTCAGATTTTTTATGTACCTGACTTACGAGGAGTTGTTCTTTGGTTTGAACTGATACCCAAACGTCAATCCTAGTTTTTTCTTTTGGCCCCATTCATCCTTAAGGAGAGAGTGATACCTCAAGATTGGATGTTTACTGGGTACCTTAACAATAAACAAGTGCCCCTCCGGAAGTTGTTCTCACGCGTCTGCTGTCACTGTCTGCCAGGAACGTTTGAGAAGAGCCGGGGCACGCGTCCGGGCAGCAGCTGGAGTCGGAGAAGTGCTTAACCATCACGGCCAGCACGTGACAATGACTTCTCCACTTCTTTTCAGTTGTCAAACTGGGCTCTGAGTCACACTTCTAAATACGTTGACCTAAGTGCCTGACAGGTTTTCCTTATTTTTTTGTTTTAAAGACAAATTGGAAACAACACAAAACTCTGATGATCAAAAACATCACGCTTTTAGATATCTAAAAGAACATTCTCTCCCATGGCATTAGGAAAACGCTCGTCGGAAGTGGTGGCTGAGTCTATTTTTTGAGGGTTACTGTTTAATAAATATACTTTATGAGCTCCCTCTTGCCATAGAAGCCTTGTTTAGGGGTGTGGAACGTGAAGCACTTACATTCTTGTGCTCCACCGACACGGCCCCATGGGAGTGCAGTGTGAGGTATGTGAGGTGCACCTCGTAGACGGGGCAAGGCCGACAGTGAGGGAGAAGCTTCTTGCTTCTCCTGGCCGTCAAGACTGGAGGCTCAGAGTTGTTTTCAGAAGGTTATTCTGTTACACTTTGTGTGCCAGGCTCTGCTGAATGCTTTGTATATTTTCATCTCATTTCTTAAAGCAGCCTTGGAAATAGGAAATTATCATCCCTTCTTTACTGATGAGAAAGGAGAGAGGCTAATAATAGACTCATGTCATATAGCTATGAACTAGAAGATCTGATGGTGGATAAAACCCCAGTTCATCTGTATTCAAAACCTGTGCTCTATGAAACTCTGCCTCCATAGAGGTCGCTGAAAAGGTCCAGACATCTGGGTTTTCATTTTTCTGTAGCTAATAAGTAACCTTTGGCCCCTTCATTCTTTCATGAGGAATTTTTTGGAGTACAGTGCAAGGTTGTGGGAGTGACTGTTGGGCAGGGAGCTTCTTGTCTCTCTTTAGTGTCACCAGGTAGAATCTGTTCCAACATCATTCTACAAACAGGTCATTTGTTTCTTATAACTTAACACCCAGCAATCCATATTCCTGTCTTCCCTGGCTGCTGCTTGAGTGTGTGATTCTAAGGCGCTCACCTTGGATTTGCAAGGCTTCTTTCTCAGTGTCATGTGACAGTAAAAAGCTTAAAAGTTTTTATTTTGTGATTGTGCATATTTTAGGGATTTGGAAGCCATAATTAGTGACTAAGGAATCCTGATTGTCCGGTAACACTTGGTGTCCTTTTACTGTGACTTGCGGTCAGGTCAGGATAATAGTATGTGTGCATTCCACATAGAAAGAACTAGGTAGAGGTAAGGTTGTGTGCAAGTACAAAGGCGTTTCACAGAATAAGGAGAGATTCACTTTGGAGAGGTGGAAGATACACGTGAAGCCAGAGTATGGAGGACCTGTATCTAGAAGACTAAGGAGCTTTGATTTTGCTCTAGAAAAGAAAACCTTTAGTAATAACCCCTTTAGGAAATGAGCAACAGAAATCAAAGTGTGGTAGTAGTGAAGGGTGACTGGCTAACCTGGGCGTGTTTTGTAGGCAGAAGAGCAAATCATTTGAAGTCAGCATTTTTAAAGAAGGAAGAATGTAGTGGATTGGGCATGGCTTAAATCCAGCCCCAGAGTGTCTGTGGTGGCGTAGTTGTCACTTAGCCACCTCTGCAGAAGACAGAGTGTTCAGCATAAGACTGATCCGTGTCTGATGCCCGCACCACAGCTTCTGTCTTTAAGTCATTTATTAGAGTTCTTTTAAGTCGGAAACTTGGTGGCATTCATGTTTAAGATAGACAGGAGAACTGGGTGGAGTGCTGTCTCCTGACCTAATTTCATTCTATACTCATTTGGGTATCAAGTGGAAGAGAAAGTTGACCCACGGGGGAAGTTTCCATGGGTTAAAAGCAAGGGCTTCACAGTCAGTTGCATGGACTTAGATTCAAACCACAGCTCTTGCTTGATCCACACAACACTTACTAGTTGGGTGACCGGGGCAAAGTCCGTGGCCTCAGTTTCCTGGCTGTAAAATGGGATGAACACCTAGTTCAATTGGGATAATGTATGTAAAGTGTTTTGAACAGTCTAGCTAATATTTAATGTTAAAGGCATGGTAGATACTATTGACCATTGATACACTGATCATATTTTGATGAAAGGGAAAATAGTCAATTTCCTAAATTTAACAACTTGTCTCTTTAAAAAAAAAAAATTAAGCTGTGGTTAGGTTATGTCTGCTGATGTCTTTGCCTGCCTTGCTGAGTCATACTTCTGCCTAATTAATGCCCCGTGTGTTTCATAGTCTAGTCAAGCCAAGCTGTCTCATATCAAAGAGGAAACTATCTTCCTGCCTCACCCTCCTCATTTGACTGCCCAGTCAGGGTTCTCTCCAAGGGTAATGGGTTCGTTTATTCAGACCCCGTGTCGCCAGTAAGATTTTCTAATGTGGCCATCACCCCCCAGTCAGAATTGGGTTGCAGTTTGAATCATACTCGGTGGTACCTCGTGAATGAAATCGCGCGTTTGCCTCTGCTCACTTTTGACCCGCCTGTGGCCCTTAGGTCGTCAGCCCTGCAGGAATGGCCGACTTTGGGATCTCAGCTGGCCAGGTGGTGGCCGTGGTCTGGGATAAGTCCTCCCCGGTGGGGGCGCTGAAAGATCTGGTGGAAAAGCTGCAGGCGTTAACTGGCAGTGAGGGCCGAGTGTCTGTGGAAAACATCGACCAGCTGTTGCAATGTAAGTACCTGCCTGGGCTGTCCTTACAAGGTGGGGGCGGGCGCAGATGGGCCAGCCGTGTCGATGGGACGCTGCGTTTCTGTCATTCCTTGATAACTGAGTTTTTGTTTGGGGCGGTAGCTGATAGTGGTGGCTGGTCACCTTGTTGTTTTTCAGTTTGAGATACAGCAGACGCAGGAGTGTGGTTGGTGATTTGTATAAGCATGCTCTTGTTTCTTGTTAGGTACCCCACACTTATTTTTAAAGAGCTTATTCTTTACCCAGCTTCTTCGTGGCATCTTTCCCTGAGCATATTAAAGGATAAGAGACGAGGAAGACTGAGGGAGAGCAGGGCAGCAGCGCCATCGGCCCTCTCGCTGGGAACAGGGGTCTGACAGCATTCACCGGGCAGGCGGGGGTGCGTTCTGCGGGGCGGGCCGCAGCCCTTGCGGGGGCGTGGGGGGCTCAGGAGGCTGCTTCTGGGGTCCAGGTGATTGCTGATAGGCTTTTCCTTTTCAGCCGCCCACCAAGAATCTAGCTTTGATGTTATTTTATCGGGTTTGGTTCCTGGAAGCACCACGCTGCACAGTGCTGAGATTTTGGCCGAGATGGCCCGGATCCTTCGACCTGGTGGATGTCTCTTTCTGAAAGAGCCAGTGGAGACGGCTGTAGGTAAGGAAATCTTCATCTGAAAGACTAGCCTGTAACAGGGTGGAATCTTTAGTATTTTGGCTGCGTCTCCCTGAGCAGGAGATACCATGTAGAGATCAATATTCCTACAGCTGAACCTTCCCCTTAGAGAGAAACTATTTTAAAAATCTAAAGCAACACATCTGAAGAAATTGTGATCTTTGACCCATTAGTTAGTAAAGTAGAAGGAAACTACGTATCTGAAAATGGCTGAGTCCTTCAGCAGGTGAATGGTTAAACTTTGCTGTGTCCATACCATGGAAAACCATGCAGCAGTAAAAAGGAACAAACTTAAAATATGCGACCACTTGGATGACTCTCAGGGGAGTCATGCTGAATGAAAAAGCCAGTTTCAAAAGGTTACATGCCATCTGATTTCGTTCATACAACATTCTTGAAATGACAAAGCGGTAGCGGATGGGGACCAAGATGGTGCTGGCCGGCGGGGGGGTGGCGTGCGAGGCTGCGAAGCGGGGAGCACCAGGGTTCGTTGTAGGCATGGGACGTTCGTATCTTGCCTGTGGTGGTGCTTACACTAATCTACATGTGTGCTTAGATTCCATAGAAACACACACACACACACACGTGCATGCAAAACTGGTGAAATTCCAATCAGCTCTGTGGACTGTGTCGGTTTCCTGGTCCTTGTACTGTACTGCAGTTGTGTAAGGCATTTCTGTGGGGGAAGCGCGGTGAAGGGTCCTTGAGACCTTCCCGAAAAATGGTGACTGGAAATCTGGGCGTGACGAGGTGATTCGTAACTCATGGGACACTCGTGATAGAATCCAAAAAGTAAAAACCTCTCCGTTTTGTTTAAGTGGTAAAGTGTCAAAGAGTTATTTCAGGATTTTTCCATTTTTTTAAACTAGACTTTTCATCAAAATGTGATGAGTTATTTCATCAAATAAGATGATAGAAATGAAAGTACTTTAAAACGTATACAGATATTTATGTGAAAATATAAACTTGTGATAAATATAGCAGATATTAGTGTTCTTTGCTGGGAGTATAACCTTGGGTGACTAAATTCAGTGTCTCTTGTCAGAACTATAGAGAGAGAATGCAGTACTTGTTACTTTAGAGTTTCTAAGCCTCCTCAATCACTACCTAACAACCCCTGGAAGGTAAGGTATTCCCAAGGAGCAGAGAATGATAAGAAACAATAATAATGGAATTATTACATAAAACTTAAGAGAATTTTGAATAACCAAGTCACATGAAAATATCACTAGAAATATATACATTAAACATAAAAGGTTATTATTGTTTTAATGTCTGCTGAAATAGAACCTTCCTTATTTTCTGCACTTCGACCTATAAAACTATTGATTGGGGTTTTCCTCTTGGCAGTTAACAATAGCAAAGTGAAGACGGCATCTAAACTGTGTTCGGCCCTGACTCTTTCTGGTCTTGTGGAAGTAAAAGAGGTATGTTGGTAAATACATTCTTTGCCAGACGCTTGAACCGTGGGTCACTAATCCCTGTATGTCTCTGTCAGACGATACATAGAGAATCAAGGGAAATAACAGCCTTGAAGGTGGGGTGATCAGTTTGCTTAGACTAGGAAATAAGTTGAGAAGTGCTTTGCCCGTGGGACACATGATGCCTCAGAGAACAAAACCCTGGGGTGATCTCCTTTGGAGAAGTCCAGCTGGGCCCACGGGGCCGGGCCGGCTCTGTCTCAGTCCTGGTTTCATGGTGCCGACCGCGGAGGGGGCAGAGCAGAATGCAGGTCTCTTGGTGGACGCAAATCCTGGGCCGTCCTGGAAGCCCCCTAGGCCATCCTCAGATACTTGGGGGGAGGCTGGAGGAGGTTGGCGGGGGAAATCCCAGTGTTGACAATTCAGTAGAAGTATTTTCATTAAATAGAGGTGTTTATATTTCTACATTCTTCTTCAATGTTGAAATTTTCTGTTCGAGAGCCAAGTGTTGTATCATGTGAGCCATTATGCCACTGATGTGCTGCATGACCAAAGGTCTCCATTTATTCATGCCCACCCTTTTCTTTTTAGTTCAAGGCTTCCTGTTTTTCACTCTAAAATAAGAGCTGCTCATAACATTCAGTTGATACTGAAGAATATTATAAAGTGACATCCCAGTCCTGGTTCACACTCCCACCCCAAAGGTATCCACCAATACATCTGTTTGTATGGCTGTCCAAACCTTTTTTTTTTTTAATGTATTTTCAACTTTTCTCTCTCTCTTTCCCACCCCCCCTCCTGTGTCTATACACACATGATTTCTTAATATAAGGAAGGTCATACGTATACATTGCTTAGGCACTAGCTTATCCATCTCAGTGTAGTACCCCTTGTTCTTGTTCATGATGGAGCAGTATTCAGTGCTGTAGGTGGGCTGTGACTTATTTAACTGTCCTATGATTGTTAGGCACAGAGGTTCCTGTTGTATTAATGACACAGCACCCCCACCTGTTTTTCTGCTTTTACTGTCAGCAGCTCCTTCCCAGGAACACGGGAAGCACTTCCCTCCCGATGTGGCCCTTCTCCTCCGAGCACATGCAGCTCTCTGTCTTCAGGGCGGGCGTGCGTGCCCGCTCTAGGCTGGGGTCCTGCTCGGTAGGACCGCGTCTGGTGCATCTGTATCATCACCACCGCGGCCCCCACAGGGGCTCGCACGGTATCTTATACCTAAGAGACAGGTGTTTCCTAAGTGTTTTTACATTTTTCAAGGGATAGGTTCAAAGTAAAAATGTAGACAAAACTTATACTCAAGGGTTCTGAGCAGTGAGAAACCGACGTGAGGCATGCGGTGATTGCTGTCTGTTCACTCCTGCTGTTACCTGTGTGATAAGATCCCGCCACGCTGCGGGCTTAAAACGCAGAAATGAGTATTTGATGCCCATGGAGGCGGGCCCAGACGCCAGTCTGTAGGGGTGTGGCCTAACCCTTGGGCTGTCCTGAATTCCAGCTGCAGCGGGAGGCCTTGAGCCCCGAGGAGAAACAGTCTGCCCAGGGACACCTGGGGCACCAGAGTGACAGCCTGCTCTCCGTGCAAATCACAGGCAGAAAACCCAACTTTGAAGTGGGTTCTTCCAGTCAGCTGAAGCTTTCTGTGGCCAAGAAGCCGCCTCCTTCGGGTAAGACTGGACATTCTTTTGTCTGAGTAGGCCTGGGAGGACACATTAGAAATCAAGCCAGAGCTAGGAATAGGGATTGGCCTTCCTTAATTTCGGCTGTTTCCAAGTGGAAGATGCTCAGTGTGCTGTTGTCCTGGGCTTTGTTGGATCCCAGACTGAAATGATGTGCAGAAATGATCCAGTTCAGCCCCTTCTGCCCCGGAGGGCATTGAGCCTTCCAGATTTTGAAGGCCTGAGTCACATAGTCGGGTTAACGAAGGCTTCCCAGGCCCCAGGATTTTGACATTTATCTTCAGAGCCTCGTGGTGGTCATGGAGTGTCCTGCTGCTCTTCCCATGTGTCCTTTCCTTTTGTGCCAGTAAAGTCGGCTTTCCTTACTTTGGGGATCCTAAGACACTTGGAAAAAATATGTCTTCTGTTCAGAAAATTACACTCCCCTACCTTGCTTTGCGTTTCCCATCACTGTTTTTAATGCCTGAATTGAGAAAATTTTCCCAGCTGTGAGGTATGCAAAAAATGTGTAAGTACATTTACACTGCTCTGTTTTGACTGGCCAGCCTGTGTCTTCAAGAGATCCTTGGGAATCCTGCCCTCGGGTTCATAGTCCCGAGTGGGTGGGAACAGCGTCCGTGAGCAGTTCGCCCTGTGGACGGCTGGGGCGCGCGGTCGCAGCCGCGATCTCCGGGGGGTGCTGCTGCCGGCCCGCGTCCCAGCCCCCTTTCAATCTCCTGGCCTGTGGAGGCACTCGCGAGGCGTGTGGTTTGAGCCTGCCATCGACCTGGGTCCCGCCGCCCCCGTCAGCTCTGGAGCTTCTTGCACGGAACAGGGGCTGTCACACGGGGCCGCGCTCTTGCCCTTCGGGGTGGTTTGTGACACACTCGCAGTCGCCCTCGCCCACAGTGGGTGCCATTAGCCCCGTGCTCCGAGGATGGACACTGAGATAGGGAAGAGAGCACAGTATGGGGTGGAAGTGAAAACATTAGAATTGCATTTATGGTTTTCTCTATAAAATTAAGATGACAAACACTTTCCTCATAAGGTTGTTAGCAGGATCAAGTTAGATGATGTATGTAAAATGCTTCATGTAGTATCTGGTACAAAGCAAGTGCTTAGCAGTGATGGCTTCTGTTACTGTTACGGTGACCGACTGGCCCATGGTCATGCCTTTTGTCAGTGGCAGAGCTGGGCCTCGAACCCAGGTCTTTAAACTCAGTCCAGTGCATTCCCCACAGAGTCTCACCAGAAAGCACCCGTGTTTGCCTGTAGCTTGTTTAGGGCTTCTTTGTAGAGCTCTTTCTCTTTTACTGGTTGGACGCAGTGAAGCCTGCTGTGGACCCTGCAGCTGTCAAACTCTGGACCCTCTCAGCCAACGACATGGAGGATGAGAGCACGGTGAGTGGGCACAGTGGGCCCCCTGTCGCTTTCCCTGCATTTTCAAATTAGAAGGAACCTCCCCAGTAGTGGCGTCTAAGCTGTTGTTCCGCGCTGCTTCGCCCGCACCCCATGGGATGTATAAAGGCTCCCGAGGGCATGTGCAAGCCTGAGCAGAGGTCGTCTGCTGGCGGATTTTCCTCGGCTCCTTTGGGCGAGTCACTGGACACTCACTGGCCTCAGAGCAGTGCTTCCCCGTCTTTGGTTGGTGCTCCTGTAACCAAGGTCTTCACTCTACAGCGATCCAGGCTACAGTGCCTGCCCTCATAGCACCTCCAGGTGAATTGCCCACAGGTTTGTCAAGGAGTTACACAACATGTGTGTCATTAGTGGCCCTTTTCTCTGGAACCATTGAGAAAATATTTTATTTCCCTTTTCACCTGACAGTCCTCCATATACAGGGTGGGGCAAAAGTAGGTTTACCGTTGTGTGTATGAAAATAATACCATAATTAATAATATAAGAAGAAACTCTGTCTCATGTGCTGACCATGTAAACCTACTTGTGCCCCGCCCTGTATAACCCTTCTTTGTTCTTCCTGCCCCTTTTCCCCACATACACACACTGTTCGGGGTGAGTCAGTTCCCATCCCCGTACAACCTACTGCGCCTTCTGTGCACGGTTAGTTCCCTGTGTGGGCAGCTTGAACGTGAGGACCAACTCCACATGGGATGGTGGTGCCTTCTTGACGTGGGCGGCATAAACCTGCCACCCCCCCACTTGTGACCACCTCGGCTCCTCAGCAGCGCAGGCCACGACTGTGTCACTAACCGTGTCGAATGCTCCCCAGGATCTCATCGACTCAGACGAGCTGCTGGATCCAGAAGATTTGAAGAAGCCAGATCCAGCCTCCCTGCGGGCTCCGGCATGTGGAGAAGGCAAAAAGAGGAAGGCCTGCAAGAACTGGTAAGGGCTGGCCTAAGCAGGATCGGCTGTGCTGCCTCCGGGCTCCTGGTGCTCGAAGAATCGCAGTGCTCTAATTAATTAAACGTACGCCTCATTGTAAAAAGAGCCGTACATACGGGGCAGTGTGTCAAGCAGGAACATTTTAAAGAATAATAAAATGAACGCCCCAGTACAGGTTACCAGGTTAAGAATCAGAAACGTTACTGGCACCGTAGCAGCCACTTCGGCATCCTTCCTCAGGTGCACCTTGCTCCGTCTTCCCCACAAGGGGTTACCCTCCCAAGTTTGTATCCGTCACTCTTGGCTTTGTTGATAATTAAGCAACTACATGTGACCTTCCAAACAATGTATTATTTAGTTGTGAACAACCGAGTAGTGAGCCCCAACCTGACTAGGCAAGGAAAGAGCGATATTCCATGTCTGTGAAGGCCCCCAGGGAAAGGCAAGATCGGCCGGGTCTCCTGGCCTGGCTTTGAGAAGCTATAAGAGCAACTCCCGTGGAAGTCAGCAGGAAGAGTCATGAGTGAGTTCTAGGAAACCAGGGACATGCCACTGTTAGGAGACCTGGCAGGACTGTCATGTGATGCAAGGACTGAAAGATCAGCAGAAATACGATCAGAGGGAGTGGCTGCTGTCTGTGCCCAGCTCTGAGCTCGCTGCACCCCAAGCTGTCTCCTCAGAGCAGCTCAAAGCAGGACGCCGCGCTGTCGGGTAAACGAGTGCCCTTGGCCGAGGGCCAGGGTGTGGAGGGCCGAGCTGAACGCTTAGTGGTGGCCGCCCCTTGTAGGCAGGACATCTCCCTGCTGGGTCTCCATTCCCCCCACTTACCCTGTCTCTCTGAGCAGCCTCACGCCTTTAGCCGGCCGCCTGGCCCCGTAGGCATTTCAGTTAAGACGTCCCGGTATGAAGAGAAAAGTAGAGAGCGGGCTCTGGCGCTCTCTAGGGTGCGGAGTTTCTGGGCGGTGGCCGGTCTCACTCAGCTGCTGTTTTCCCCAGCACCTGTGGCCTTGCCGAAGAGCTGGAGAAAGAGAAGTCCAGAGAACAGATGAGCTCCCAACCCAAGTCGGCTTGCGGAAACGTAAATACCGTCACTCACTCTTCCCCTTGGCCCCAGAGGTTTCGGGCGTCGTCCTAAATGACACACAGACCAGCTCCAGCTGTAAGGAGTTGGCCGCCCCAGTACTTTAGTGATAGGCCAGTTTGTGAGAACAGGGAGGTGGGTCATGATGGGGAAGGGAGGTTGTCTCTTACGGGAGGGTTAGCGTGCTTGTGCCCGGGTAGGGGGCCCGTTTCCTATTTTTGTCCCTGTCTTCCTACTTCCTGGTGGACCTGGGGTCCCTCAGCTGTTCGGCCGAGCTCGGCTGTGATTTGAATGACTGAGAACACAGAGAGACGGTCTCCCAAGGAGCCTCTCTAGACCATTGTTTTCACAGAACCAGAGGTCTCAAAACCTTGTAGTGTTTGGGTCCCCATGGGACCTACAGAGACTCCCAGCCACAGAAGGCCCAGAGGTGGCCTTCTGGCCACTGTGGCCCTATTATGAAATCTGAGACCTGTTCTTCTGGCCCCTGCCTCTGGGGTAAGCTTCCTGGTGTGGTTGTCCCCTCTCTCACCAGTGCTACCTGGGAGACGCTTTCCGCTGTGCCAGCTGCCCCTACCTCGGGATGCCAGCCTTCAAGCCCGGGGAACAGGTGCTCCTGAGTGACAGCAATCTCCACGACGCCTAGGCGGGGCCCAGCCCGGGCCGCGGCTGCTCCTGCACCTTGGGCCCCAGCGCTGCGGTTGCTCGGACTCTGTTGGAGCCCCACGTGCAGGGAGGGTGCCTGGTGGGCAGAGCGAGGCTGGCCGTGGGGGCGGGGCTGTAGAGCGCTGCTGTGGGTCTAAAGGCCAAGGTGTCCTGGGCGGCCGCCCGCCTCACCTAGTGTTAGGGAAGCAGACGCACGCTGAGGAGGCCCCTCCCCCGGTGTCAGTGTGCTGCCGTGACACTCCATGCGCAGACGCCTCGCCTCGGGTACTAATTAACACTCTGTGGCTGAGGGCCCTGCCCCTCCTCTGCGCTCAGCGAGGGCCACTGCCGGTCTCCTGGAGCGGGTGGTTCACGCAGCACGCTGCTCCTGGGGATGGGAGTCACGTGTCTTGTGACCTCGAGGCACCAGTGACGTCCTGGGTGGCTGCGCTCACAGCCAGAGGCCCTGTGCCCCTCCACCCGAGCCCTGTGGTAGTGTTTTGCCCCGTGTCCTGTTAACCTGCAGTTACTATTAAACTTGTGCTCCTCCACGCACCGGTTGTGATGAGGGCGTATGTGTGTGGGGACGTCTGACAGCCATCCAAGCTCCGCTTGGAGCACAGGACTTTATTTTTTTGGAGACTTAGTGTCACACACAGTTGGCCACCCCCCCCCCACCCCACACACACCTAGGGACTGGGGCCTCCATCTTTACAAGAGTCCAGGTTGATGAGAATTTAGGGGCAGTGGGACAGAAATCGGAACCCATGGTAAAACTCCCTGAGCAGGAGGCCCTTCGTTCTGGTCGTCCGCCCACACAGACTGGGACTGGATCTTGCCAAATAGTGGGGAGATTGTGTGGATTCAGGACGCCTGGATTTTTATGCCTTACTGATAAATAAAAGTGTTCTTTGACATTAGTCCTTGAAACATGACTCTCTACGTTTGCTTTTGCCCATTCTGCCCCTGCTGGTGGATTTCAATTACACGTGTGGCTAGATCCTAGTTTGACTGCAAAGCCCCAGTGGTCCACCGGGTTCTAAGACGACCCCCATGGCCCCACAGCCTGCGGAATGCCCCGCCCGTGGGTTTGAGCGGGACCTGTGAGCGTGGCGGGGCCTCACTGCTGTGGTCAGGTTCCCTCATGCAGCAAAAGCGCGGGGGTTGCCCGTGTAGAGTCCCCAGTGGGCCTTCAGTGGAAAGAGACGACTCCTGAGTGGGCCTGACATAAGCGCCAGTCCTTGAAAAGAACTGGAGAACCGCGGTCTCCCGCTGGCCGTGCCATCTGTGGAGGTCCACGGGCCAGGGACTGCGGGCCACCTCGGGGGGCCGAGAGCGTGCGCAGGCCGCCCCGCTGCCGGGGCCCTGGCCCTCCGGACCCGGGAGGGTGAGTGTCTGGGTGTGAGCCGCTAGACCTGTGGTAGCTCGCTGGGCAGCCGCGGGAGGCTGTTAAGGCCCCAGGCGAGGTGTGGGCGGCGATGCCTGCCTGCCTATTTACGGAGCTGCGGGCCTCTGAGCTGCTCCTGCTGCGGTGGCCACGGGGAAGGCCGAAGTCTCTACCTGTGGGCTGGGGACAGGTGCCCCCAAGCCAAGAGCTTCCTGGGGTGGGTTTGGCAGAGCCCTGGGCAAGTGCTCCAAGCCCTCGCTGACCGGATTCTCCTCCTGGGTCCCTGCCTCCGCTGGCACAGAGGACGGCGCTGCCTCCTGTCTGCCGCACTTGGCGCAGTTAGTGCTGAGAGGGGACTGCCAGTCCTCACGCCTTGTGACTTGGGAGGATGGCAGTTCTCAGGGAAGGTTTTAGAGGCAAAAATAGTCTCAGGTACAGCTCAGGTATTACATCTGAGTGACCTGCTGCCACCCATCACCTGAGGACCGTTAAAGGTGCAGGTACCTGATGTCCTTGGATGTTCTGAGTCAGTAAGTCAGGTGGAGCTGGGGATCTTAAGTCTTTTGGTCACCTCTCTTGGGTCTTTTGCTGAGAACCTGGCAGCGTACTGTTGGGGCTTCCCCCTTCTCCCTGAAACCGCTCTGACACAGTGAGTGGGTGGGCGGCAGGCAGACCGCACCTTCCCTGAGGTTAAGAGACAGCCAGATGGAGCCACAGGCTAGCGGGAGAGGGCCCTAAGTGGGGGCTTGGAGCTGGAGTGGGGAGCGGGGCAAAGGGCGGACAAGTGGGCCAGACCTGCTCCGGGTTGAGAGCTGTCCCTGAGCTGCAAAATCAGCCCTCACCCATGGTGACCGGTCCCCAGTGCGCAGGCAGACAGTGGGGCTGCGGGGAGAGTCCCACAGCAGCCTCGTGTGCTTCGGGCAGAAGAGAGGCTCAGCTTTGTGACTCTCCTCCAGCCAGTAGTGTGGGGGGAGGGGAAAGCTACACAGGGAAGCACTACCAGGTGTTGGTGGAGGCACAGCCAGGCGGAGGGAACTCTCCCACACTGTTGGGGGGATTGGTTTGGACTGTCATACCCTGCAGTGTCAGCTTCAAACACGGGTTGTGTATTAGTCACCTGAGTAGCTTCTGCAAAAAGACAACATTTATGCCCGGGACCCCCTCCTCTCCAAAGACCAGCTACGTCAGTCTTTTGCAATAGAGCCTAGGATGCCAGCCTTCTGCAAAGCCTTCCTGGGTAATTAATTCTCGAGCGCATCCAAGGTTGTGAACCACTGCCCCAGAGAACTTCCTTTACACATGCACCGGAAGGCAAGCTGAAAACTGAACGTGGCGCGATTTGTAATTGCAAGAACCTGGAAACAACCCACGTGGCTCTGAGCAAGAGGGCGGAGGAGTGAGCTGTGGTACCAGCCCCTGGTGGAAGCGAAGAGCCGCTCCTGTGCATGCGAGCGGGGCGGAATGTCATAGAACGGCCACAAAAGCAAGTCACACAAGAGTGCACGTGTGAAAACTGTCACCTTTTTCATAAAGCTCCAAAGCTTAAAAACATGGAAGACGCATCCATATATTGCTAGGGATTACATGTACATACACATACATATAATGTATATACACACGTGACAAACGAAAGGGAACCAAGGAGAATGATGAGCACCAAACTCGGGCAGAGCTGTCTCGAAGGTTGATGATGGGATGATGATGGGGCTTCACAGCCACAGGAAGTTTCTATTAAGTTCTGTGGGGGTGGGGGTGGGGGGGGTCCTTGTGCACTCACCAGTGCGTATGCAGGTGTTTACCTTATTATTGGCTTGAATTTCTTACACATCCACAATGGATTTTGTATTGATAAGGCATTTTATTCAAAAACCAGAAAAACCGACGCGCAAAACCCTGGGTCTTAAGGAGAGTGTGCACTGGCCCAGAACGAAGCTCCGCACCTCCCAGACCGAGACCTGCAGGGGGCGGGTCCCAACCCCGCCAGCCTCCGCGCTCCTGCCCCTGTCCCCTGCGCACACGCGCATGCACGCAGTCCTTACAGCGGCTCTGCTGCTTGAGGGTAGGGGCCAGGGCCTCTGAGAAAGGTGTCGCGGGGAGGAAAAGGCTTTGCTGCTTTTAAGACAGTTGTGCAAAGCACTGGAATAAGTGCATGTCTTGAGTATTTCCAGCTCTGGCTTGCAGAGTGGGGAATCTTTGCTCTCCTTCGCTGGCTCCTTCTCCGCGCCCCCCACCCCATCCCAGCCCCAAATTTGTGAGATCATCTTTCCCGTAGCCCCGCCCCGCTCAAACGGCCCCATGGAGCCAGACAACTTTTTTACACAAAGAACTCGGACTGATGGGCCCCCAAGACTCTGGGTCTGAAGCAGCTGTTTGAGGAATATTGGTCAAAATCGGAGCAGGAAGACTCTGGGGTCACAGAGAAGCCGGTTGATCACCGTCATCGACCTTATTAATATTGCTGTTGTTTTCTTCCCGCCCCTACTAGAAAGTGATCCAGGTCGGCTTGCAATGAGACGATTGACCACAAGAGGGCACAAAGAAGCAAAAGTTTTATCTGAAAAAACCTTGACAGGTCACAAAATCCTAGGAAGGACCAAATTCCCGTCCCCAGACTGCACCCTGGAGAGAGAAGCCACGAACCCATAGTCAGTCAGGAGAATGAGACAGAACTAGAATCTGAAGGCTGACCACCGCCCCCACCCCCCTGCCCCCCGACCACGAGGGCTCCAGCCTTGAGCTGGGCCTGGGCAGGGGGGCTAAGTGTGGTGGTCCACGACCTCCATCCTTCTGAGTTCATGGGCTGCAGGGTCCTCAGGGCAGCTCACAGAGCCCGCCTCCCCCTACCTAATGGAGATATCAGGACTGAGAGACCCATACAGGAGCCAACGGGAGAATGGGTTGTCGAGAGGCGGCCGCCCCGCAGCCCCAGAAAGAGGGAGGAATCAGCACTGCTTGCCGGCTGAGGCTGCAGGGCCGGCTGGGGCGCCTGACTGCAGCCGGCAGTGAGGCCCGGCGCAGTGGGCACTGGCTGTGGGGCAGAGGCTCGGCTCAGGCTGCAGACAGCTGGAAGCAGGCAGAGGTCCTGGGGCCCTGGGAGCCGTTCTGGGGGTTCACCTGGGAGAGGGACCTGGGCCTTGCAAAGGCTCTGCAGTGAGCGAGGTGGGGAGGGGCTGCAGGGACGCCAGGCCAGGGAGCTCCCCAGCCCTCGACAGAACCCCACAAGGGCGGGTCCTGGAAACCTCTGTGGAATTGGCTCAGATGCCTTAGGGGGTGTGTGCTCAGATCCTCACCAGGCCAGGGGACACCGGTGAGCACAGGGGCTGGTCTGGGAGGAGACTGGGGACTTTGGAGGACAGACAAGACCAGAGAGAATCCAGCTGTTGCTTCCCAGAACCCCTACCTGCTGGCGCATGGCACGGAGGAGGGTCTGCCCTGCTCTTCCCGTGGACCCCCCAGCCCCACCCCTACCGGGGCCTCTGAGCCTCAGTTCCCTTTCTGGCCTGGACGGGGCAGGGCCAGGTGTCCTCTGGGGGCCCTTCCAGTGTGACAGCCCGAGCAGACAGAACACGTGGACCCAGACTGAGAAAGAAAGACTTTAATCGTGGCTCTTTCATGCCACAGTTCCAGTTCAGCAGAGGGGGCAGGGGTCCTCTTTGTCCTCATAGGGCCTCCACTGGACTCAGGCAGCTGGGTGTTGAGGCAGCAAAAAGCAAGGCTACTGGAAGTTTCCAAATGGTCCGGGGAGAAATCAGGACTCCAGGGCCCTGCGGTTACGTGACTTTGTGCGTTTTCTCAAGTGTTTGACTGCCTTCTTTACCCATGGGTCCTGGGGGTTCATACAGATGGACTTGCCCTGGGTGGTCACAAACCTGCAGAGCGAGAAAACCGTCGGGGGCATTAGGCTGGGAGGCCCTGCCGAGCCCTGGGCAGCCCGTCCTGCACCCACCAGGACTTGCTGAAGTTCCACAGAGTCAGGAGGATGCCTGCGACATCAGGCTCTGCCCTCGGTGACCTTGACCATTCCAGAGAGTCAGGGCCACAGGGCCTTCTTCCTCCCCACTCATTCTGCCCAGCCCGCCTACGGCCTGGGAACTAGAGGTCGCAGGCCCAGGCCAGGGGAAGTGACCACATCTGCTGTGACTGCCCGTGTGACATGGAGCTGTCCCATCTCCCTCCAGGTCTCAGTATCCCCATAAATCACTAAACAGGGTGGACTCCGTGGCCTGGGCCTCTGGGCACTGTAGCGTGGGGCACCGGAGCAGGGCCAGGCTGAGGAAGGGGATGGCGAAGTCCACCCTCTCCTCTCCTCTTTCCAGTGGCCTTTCTGGAAGCCTAGGGTCCTCCGGCTCCAACGCTCAGCTCCCAGGATCAGGGGTGGGGAGGGGCAGGGTCGGGGCAGACTTACACCACGGCATTCTTCGGACACTCGTCTGAGGTCTGGTACCACGACACCACCCTACCGACCGGGATGGCTCCATTGAAGTACTCCAGGCAGCACTCCCTGCCCACGTTGGTCCCCCGAGCTACAGTGGAAGAGGAACGGGCAGGTGTGCCTGTGAGCGTCAGTGGTTATGCGGCGGGTCAGCGGTGGGTCCGTGTGTACGCGTGCATGTCTGCAGAGGGGAGTGCGTATGTGCGTGCGTGCGTGCGCGCGCGTTGGGGGGAGTCGTGCCTGCTCATTCACATGGGTGTGCACCTGTGTGTGTGTGTGCACACACACAACACGAGCCCTGTGTTCACTCACTCAGGGCGGAGCCTTTCCCGCAGCCGCCCGCTCAGCCCTCACTGTACACCTGGAGACAGGTGCTGTCACCACCCCCTTTTACAGACGCCAAAACGGCAGCCCGAGATGTCAGGACACTTCTTGGGGGCTCTGTCTCCTCATCTCTGCCCAACAACAAATATCCAACACTTGCAAAAAGATAGCTGGAGACGCGTGCCTTTCGCTAACATCACCTGAGCCTGTTTTCTAAGCAGCCCCGGCTGCCCTCTGACCGTGGGGGGCCGTCCCCTGGCCTGACTCGCTCCAGCGCTGAGCGGGCCCAGCATTTCACCAGCGTGAGAGCAGAAGCGCAGCGGGCGGCGAAGGCGACCTCCCCTGCGCCCCGGCCCCAGGCAGTCAGCCTCGGAGTCTGCCTGTGCTACCCGTTGGGTGGTGGGCGGGGCACCCACCTGCTTCGTGTCTGATTTCAGCCTTCCTTTCCCAACTGAATATAAAAAATCTCTTTTCTTCACATCCTTTGGGAACCTATTCTCTTGCTTTTATGCTGATCCCTTCATGGTATGGAAGAGCCATTCATGAAACACAGGCTGATGAATAACCTTTGAGAACCGTTCACTTTTCCCTCTCAAAACACAACCCCGTCACTGCACCACAACCATTGCGGCGTGAGGTGGGGGGAACACTTTGTTCCTCCCCAGGCCAGTCCCCAAGTGCTGGAGCCTCCTTCTCCTCATTATCTTTCTAATCTTTATCGTCTTCACCATCATTTTCCTCTGAATGCCTCCCTCAAAATCCTATTGCTGCTGACCTCTCACCTCTTTGTGCAAATAAGCAAGGTGCAAATAATACACAACTACGCGTGTGCCCCCCATTGTGGCATCAGTGGGGTGCCCGCCCCCTTAACTCCTCCGCTCTCACCCGCACGGGCATCCTGCAGAGAAGCTCCCAGGAGGAGGGTGACAAGGAGCAGCATCTTCAACGGGGTCATGGCGCCGGCAGCCCAGGGGGAGATCTCTGCGTGTGGGTCCCTCTGCTCGGGGAGACAGGATGAGAGCCAAGGGTGGAAGTGACCTATTTAACCTCTTCAGGGATCTTGCTCCGCCTCCCAACACCTGTTCCTCCCATCCTTCCCTAGGCCGGTGGAGTTCGAAGAATTTGGAATGATTCAGTAGAAGTCCAGGCTTGGAATGTTTGTGGCTTTCCAGAGAATGGGCCTTCAACTGGGGACCGAGGTGGGGCGAGGTATGTGTCCGGGGGTCACAACAACAGCACACTTCTCCTTTTTGCAGGGATAGTTCTTGGTTCCTCTATTAGAACACCAAAAGCTTCACCCTAAACTGGGCTCATCCCGCTCCGAGCCTCCCCTGTGCACGGCGCTCGGGGAGCAGGACGGCCAGACTGGGCCCGACCAAGGCGGCCTGACGGGCCCGGGGCTCAGGGCGCGGAAGGCACCCTCTCCTCGTGGGGCGGGTCGGCCGCACGGAGGCCCACAGCTCCGGCATGTTCTGAGAAAGACCCGAGGCCCAGACAACTCCAGTTGCGGGCCTTTCCCCGCATTCAAGTTCAGGGTCTTCCCCTGAGCCACAGAAGGCCAGAGTCGGACAGTTTTTAATCATCATTTAGTCCAGATTTGCATTTGTACAGATCAGGAAGCCATGTTCCCCCAAAGGCAGCGCCTCCCTCCGGGCTGAAGAACAGAATGAAGAGACTTGTGAGCAAGACGCCTCAGGCTCCCAGTGGAGCCAGGTCTACTTCGGACGGGGGCTCAGCATCCAGCCAGAGCCGGCCCTGAGCAGACTGCCCATGAACCCATGGACCACAGCATCAGTGCATGGGGTCAGCTCCTGGTTACCAGAGAAAGTGCTCAGTCGTCTGCCTAGGGCTCCCCTGGGCCAGATCGTAAAAGTCCCTTCGTTGGCTGAGAGACCCTCTCCGCCTCCAGTGGGGCAGCCCCTCAGCAGGGCCGCCCCGGACCTGGATCCTGCCACACGGGACTGGGGGCGGCTTGAAATGACACCGCGCCCACCACAGGGTGTCAGGTGCCTTCTGCCTCCTCAGTCAGGTCTGCATTCACCATGGAACCATGACTAATGTGATGATAACAACAGCAGGTGCTGTTTGCTGAAACCCGACTCTACCAGGGGCAGGTGCTTAGACGGCAACCTCACAGCGAACCCATGACAGGCAACCATGATACTGGCCCAGGCCTCGCGAGGGGCATGCCAGCTGCTCCTCCTCCTCCCCAAGGGCCACCTTGCGAGGCTGGGGCTGCTTCGGCTCCTGGGGGCGAAGAGTGGCCCTGTCTATGGCAGAACTTCCCTGCGGGCAGGGTCCTCGCTGTGTGACCTCAGGTAGCTCACAGACCCTCTCTGGGCCTTAGTTGAGAGACATGCAGGTGGATCTGAGAAAGATGGGGTCTTCCTTTAGTGGTCCTCACACCAGCATGTCTCTGCTTCTCTTAGGGTTGCCTCACCTGCCAGAGACGCCCTGAGGCCCGCCTACTCCGCAAGCCGCAGCCTGGGCCGGTTCTTTGCTCCCAGCCTATCTGGCTGGGCCATATCCTTTGTCCCCGAGGAGGCGCAGCGGGGTGAGGGCCTCCTGCCAGTCTCATGTTTGACACCAGCTTCCTGCAGAGGTGGGGGGCGACCTCCACCGCCAACAGAGGAGCACCCAGCGCTCCCTACCCTGCCGAGTGGGAGGAGAGCAGGCCGGGCAGGGGAAGGGGCGCTGGTGCCCTGGAGACCGTGGCTGGGGGAGGGAAGCTCTGACCTGGAGACAGACCCTGGGCCCAGAGGAAACATGGAAGCCCAGATGTTGGTTGGGGAGGCCTGGGGCCTACGAGGAGGCAGAGGGCATGTGTCTGCTGACCGTTCGGTTCCCGTGGCCTCTGCCCCGTGGCCTCTGCCCACCGTCTGCAGCTTCTCCACCTACCACAGCTGGCCTCGAATGCCCTGTGCTGGACAACACGGGCTTGTTACAAACTGCAACTCAGCTGTTGTTAATGGTGAGGCCCCGGCCCCAGCCCCCGCTGCTGGGGAACTCCTGAGTGGGTTTTGAGTCCCCCCGTTCTGCCTCAGACTCAGACTTTTCTCCAGAAGGACCCAAATTCCCCTGTCCCTTCTAGGGAACGGGTAACAACAGCAGGAAGAGAAGGCCTGCACTGGGTCTGGGTCAGCGCCCCTGCCTGGCGGGGTGGGAGGGGAACGGCAGGAAGTGAGCAAGTGAGTGCCTGCTATGCGCCTGGCTGTGCGGGGTGGGGGGTAGTGGCGGGTGAGGGGCGGAGGGCGGGAGGGCAGGCAGTGGTCAGACGCAGCCCCTGCCCTTGCAGGAGCTCAGAGCTGGTGACACTGCAGGAACAAGGCCTGGCTCCACGCAGGGACCTGCAGGTCGTGATGTGAGGTAAATCCTCTCCCATTTTGCCTTCTCAGTCAGCTCTGTGTTCATCATGGAGCCATGACTAAATTTCTATTGCCAGCGACGGTAATGGAAGAGGATGGTCTTGGCAAACGTGGTAGCCGAGGCCAGCGAGCTGGGCCACGTGGGTGGAAGGGTTCGTGCCAAGAGGCGGAGGGGCAGGCTTGGCCACATCAGGGAAGCGTTTAGCAAAGGTGCAGATGAGGGAATGTGCAGATAAATGAGGGAAAGAGGAGGAAGCGCTGGTGGACGGAGGAGGCTGGGTGTCCCCAAGAGAGCAAGCTGCGTGGGGACAGTGGGGTGTCTGCTTTGCTCATCACCACGTGGATCCCCAGCTCCGAGCAGAGTATCTGGCACTCAGTGGGCCTCCCACGAGCCTTGGCCGATTGGTACAGGACCGAATGCCAAGGAGATGAGATGGAGCAGGGGCCTCGGAGAGTCGTGGGGAGCCTCTTGGCCTTATCTAGAAGGCCACAGAGACCAGGGACATTTTTTTAGGTGTTTTCCTCACTAGAAATTAACCGACTGATTCCTCCTTGCTTCTCCCAGCTATGAATCGGATTCTAAGGGACCTTCCAGATGGAATGTCCTCTAGCTGGGGCCTGTGATAAGGGCCTCAAGACCTTTAGGGCGCTGTGACTCGGAGACCCATCAGGGAACCAAGGCTGCTGCCTGGAGGAGGCGGCAGTGAGGTGGAGCTCTGTGGAGGGGCCACAGGGGCTAGGGGACAGGGTCCCCGGCAGGGAAACAAGCCAGACGAGGCCTGTGAAGAGATCAGTCAAAAAGAAATTGCATCTGAGTGGGAGGAAGGGGCGACGTGACTCTGTCTCAACACCTTTGACTCAAGCCAGCTCAACACCCCGTCTGCGCACCTGGCCTCCTGCTGCAGCCTGGGGCTGCCGCTGCGGGGAGCCCTTTGGGGTAAAACCAGGTGGAGGGAATCAACACCCCGCGTCCCCACCCCGCTTCAGGCCAAAGGGGCTGGGCCAGCTGGAGTCTGGACCCTTTACCCTGACAGGGAGGGAATGAGGGTCCCTGCCCCACCCCTGGCTCTACTGTGTAGCGCGGTGGGGGACCAGACACATTGCTGTCACAACAGCAAAAGCTTAGCCCCAGGCTGCAGAGCAGGGGACAGGTTGCTGCGGTGGGAGCCATTTGTCATCGTCAAATCGCCCATGACAGTGTCACTGGGGTGGCAAAAGGTGTCACCCCAGGTTACTCCGGTGTCAGCCAAGGCCCCAGGAGGTGCAGCGACTTGGCCAGGGTCCCAGGGAGCATCTCCTCAGCTCCATCCTCTGACAGCTGAAGCTACACTCAGCCTGTCCTGCCCCCAGGGGGCTGACATGTGGAGGTCCCAAGGGTTTTTTACCATCCCCCAATCCCAAAATACGTTCTGCTCCCCTGGCCCAAGGGCCTGACACGCTCACTGATGAATCAGACCTTCCTGACAGGTTGTTGGTCTTCTTCTTTTAAAGATTGTATTTATTTATTTTTAGACAGAAGGGAAGGGAGGGAGAAAGAGGGGGAGAGAAACATCCCTGTGAATGTGTGGTTGCCCCTTATACCCCCTACTGGGGACCTGGCCTGCAACCCAGCCATGTGCCCTGACTGGGAATCGAACCAGTGACCCTTCGATTTGCAGGCTGGCACTCAATCCACTGGCCCACACCAGCCACACCAGGTTGTCGGTCCGCTTGATTCCTCAGATCAGCATCATACGGGCGTCTCCAACCTCCCACGTTCATTCAGCAAGGCCTGTTGAGTTGGTGCCTTGGTGTGTCTTGAATCCATCTCCTTCTCACCATCCACAGGGCCACCCCCTCCATCTCTCTGCTGGACCACGGTCCCCCAGTGATGTCTCGGCTTCCAGACTTGCCCCTCTAGTCTGTCCTCCGCCCTAGAGCCCAGTGATCTCCCCAAAACACAAATGTGAGCAAGGCTCGTCACTCAAAAATCCTTCAATGCCTCTGCATTGCTCTCAGAATGAAGTCCAGATTCCTGCTGACTTCTCCAGCCTCAACGTTTGCCCCCAACCCTGCCGCCCACCATGTCACTTTGCTGTAGCCATGTCAACCTTCTCTTGCATCTGGGGAAATGCCAGGCCCTCACTGACACCCAGCGCTCCGTACAGGCTGTCCTTCCTTTCTAGAACTCTCACACCCCACTTCCTTTCCTTCCCAGCCTCCTTCAGATTGCAGCTGAAACCCTTGCTTCCTCCCTCAGCCCCCTCCTTCCTCTGTGTCCCCACAGTTCATAACAAACTTCCCCTCCTGCTCTGTCCACATTGCATTGTAATTGTTGGTTTATTGCTGCAAAAACCTTAAAAATAGGATCTCAAGTTCCAACCTGTACCTACAGGACTTAGCACCCAGTAGGTGCCCAATAAAGTATTTTGTTTAATGGATGAAGAGTTTGGATATTTGGGCAAATGAGTGGGTGGATGAATGGATGGATGGAAGGATGAGTGGGTGGATAGATGGATAAAAGGATAGAAGGATGGATGGATGAACGGAAGGAAGGAAGGATGGATGGTTGGATGGATGGATAGATGGATGGAAGGATGGGTGGATGGAA